TGCGAATGCCGAAACCACAGAACCGCCAACCACCAACCACGAACCACCATGGCCAAGCGCGGCCCTAAAATGCGGTTACACTAATGCGCATTTAAGTAGCTCTCTTTGTGTCTGAGTGCGTGCATGTGCATGAGGCTTCCTAATGAATCAGCATTCATGGACGCCCAGCTGCAAACCGACAAAAAACAAAACGAAAAAAAAAGAATCAAAATTTGAAAAAAGAGAGAAACCACAAAGACTAAATCCAAACAAGTCCACAACCATTTACGCCCATGTTCACTTTTGGCAGCGATTTTGGTTTTGAAAACAAAAATTGCCCAGCCATTCGCATGCTGTAAACTCTGAGTGCTTTTTGTCGGAGCGAGCCAACGCTGCGTATACGCAATCCTTTGTTCGACTGTTGAAACTGGAAACTTTCGTTGGCTCGATGGGGAATTCGAGTGCAGGTGCTGGACTCAATCTAATTGCATTAAAACTGCATTGCATCAAGAATGCCCTCTAAAGGCCACAAAGCTCTTTGGCAGGCATTTAATTTAGTTATTAAGTTTGTCAACAAAAGGTTTATACAATTCGCTGTTGGGCAAACATAAGGGTTGCCCATGCACAATATGCTAGAAGCTTTGCTTTGACTGCCGTTTAAGTAAATCAGACAGCAGAACAAACACGACAAATTAACACGTCATAATTAATGCCCTAATAAATAATGTAATGTTAATTAAAATAGCAGAAGATTCCATGTAACCTGCTAATGTTATGAACAGATTGACATTTGTGATGGCTTAGTAGATTTAACAGAGATTTAAATAACATACATGTGGAAGTAACAATAGGCTATTTATTCAATAATCTTGTAATTAACATTTTCAATTTCTAAATGTTAGCCTCATGCTCAAATTAACAGACTCAAGAAATGCTATCCGAAAAATGTTGATTTCTACAGACCTTAAGCATGCACTAAATATTTTACCAAAAAGCTTTATATTTTATATATATAACATATGTGCCACATTTAAGGGGTCGAAACCATAAACGAACAATCATATTTCCCCTGAGAGACGTGAAGAATTGTTGAAATTTGACGGGCATATTTATCTCCAGTAATGTTACAAATTTAACATAACGATTCTGTTCGTCAGCTACTTGAGTGAAGACAGCAGCGCACATGCGAATACATTCAAGCCATTTGCGTGTGTGCTTCAATTGAAATATGACACCATTGCATTCAGGAAACCCCCGAGAGCGATAAAAACTGAAATATCTTACGGCACATGAGACTGTGTACGGTAACAGAGGCAATAAACACGGGCGTAATCATTAATCATGAACGATCAAAGTCAAAGATACAGAAACAGAAACAGAAACAGACAAACTGTAAGTTACACATAGTCCCACACACGCACACACACACACTCAATCATGTGTGTGCGAGTGTTTAGGGAGCAGGCCTCGGGTCGTTGGCTGGGGGCTGCTTTAATCAATTCCAAACAACAAACACTTGGAAAACGGCGCGCAGCGCGAAAAGAATGCAAGGTTATTAAGGCAAATATATTTTGTATGGTTTGTATAAAATGTTTATTGATAGACCGGGGCATGTGAAGCAGCTCGGAAGAGTGGGCAAGTGCAAAGAAAGATAGCAGACTAAAGGCAATATGCGAGAGCATGACAAATGCGTGTGGCAGCCGAAACGGACGAGCTCATACAATTTGCAAAATTTATCAAAATTATCCGCGTAAATTATTTTGATATGTTGAATTTAGTTTCTGTGTGCTGTTGGCTTTTAATTTTATGCTTGCCCGAGTAAATAGATCTTTACAATTGCAATGACAGAAAAAAAAATAACATTGATAATTTTCCATTTAACAAGCGGCATTTGTTGTCCATTTCGTTGCGCTCTGTGCGCCTAATGATAATTTCGATAATAACTCTGATGCAAATTAGTGATAATTGACTAGCATTTCGTTTTTAGTCTGTGTTATTTATTTTCGCTAAGCCTTATCAGAGCGAACTCTACGTAATTTGAAATTTAGATTACGTATACGCAACTTTGTTGACGTCATAAACCTGACCTGGAAATTATTCGAGTTCAAGTTCTAGGTAATCGTATTCATGTCAAACGATTAACTAACTTGATATTGAAATGCAAATATCTAATACAAATATGCAAATTAAACAGTTTAGTTAAAACTTATGAACTAAAACCGAATTCAATTCCGGGGCAAAAACTGAAAAGATTTACTAAACAGCATTTCAAAATTTAAATGCATTAAATTTGTATGTTAATGTGCATTTTTTCTTTTATTTAATTACATTTTAAATATTAACACAGTTTTATTGCCAAGCTTGTCGAAACTGAAAACGCATGCTGGCATGCCAGGCTTTTAAATTTATTTATTTTCATTTCACTCCAGGTGCTTCTCACTTGCACTAACTTAAATAAACTAGCTAAACGCTGTGCTGCTGCTGCCGGCGATTTTGTGGGGTAAACAAAAAAAACTATATATATATATCTATTCATGTATATGGTCAAGAAGAAAACAACAAAACACTCGCTCTGGCGCGCAAAGCCAAGCAAAACGTAACAGAAACGAGATAGAATAGAGAACAGAAAGAGATGGAATAACAATGCTCGACTGTATGCACGTGCATGTGTGTGTGTGTGTGTGTGTGTGTGTGTTTATTTATGAGTAGTTTTTCCAAGTTTTGTTTTTGTTATTGTTTCTTTTCTTCAGTTTTATTTTTTTGTATTAAGTGCAGGTCAAACGCGTGGCCGCCTTTTGCTCGCTTGCTGCTTAAAAATGCGAAAATCTACAAGTGGTTGGCGAACAAAGCGAAAACTATAAAAATAATAATAATAATAATAATAATGCTCAAGTGAAAATGCCATTGAAATTGCTTTAAATTAATCAACTGCAACGATAATAGGACACCGAACAGAATGACTTTTTGATTTTTTATTAAATAAACACTGAAATGCAATTTAAGAGTTTTAAAACGAACTCTTGCATACCTTTATTTGTAAACGCATTCATTGAATGAAGTATATGCAGTTTTGTAAGTGTTCTTGCTGTAGCCTCACTTTATTTGTTCAACACTGGTCACACACTGACTCTGCTTAACATTAATGCTTAACATAACCCTTAACAGACATGGGACCAGCTGCCAGAGTGACCGTGTGTACTTTTGTGAGTGCCAGCCATTGATAATGTGACGTCACTATCACACTACATATTTTCACATCTTTAAATTGCATTTAAAATTAAATATGTTGACATATTTGAAGTGCATAAAGTAGTCGTGGCATAAAATGTTACCATACTGCACTGACAAGTGTATTTCGTGTGCATTGTTTTCATTTGTATAATATGCACATAACTTGTTGAATTGGCATTTTAATGAATTTTCTCTGAAATAACGCATACGCCCCGTTGCACACCATTGTGCCGGGCGCTAAACGATTTGAGGCTAATGGCGTCAATAAATTCTGTTTGATATTTATCACGCACCAATTAAGCAGAACAATCGGCGAATTTGCGCGCTGAATAACTTTGATATTAAATACTGCACGCCAAATTTTTTTAAATTTCTTTAAGTTTCATTTCCGCTGCTGGCACGTGCAGCCTTTAAATGCAGCCTTTGAGTGTATCCAAAGAATGCAACTAGCGTTGGAATAGTCAACAGATAAATTCTCGAAACAAACTTTGGCAAGACGAGGCTCACACGCACATCAAGTTGTAGCATATGGCAAAAGTTTGTATGCATACAAAGAGGATGTGTGTTATTTTATGTTTTCGATTTTTGAATTAGAACTAAACTTGTTTCAGTTTTTAAATATTCCACAGAAGCCTGTCAACATAAGACATCGTAACTGTTGGCTGTTTAAAAAATAAAAGTACACATATTTAAGAGAGATAAGACTTAAATTTGAGCTTGTTTAAGCGTTTCAAGCATTCCTAGACTAGTTGAGGCGATGAAAGAAATGTTTAACATTAAAAGGTAAAATACCTTTCCCGCTTACAGCTTGGCGTGGGGCTCACCTATAAAGGTGTCCCCTTCAACTGACTGTCTTCATTCAACTGTATTAAGGCGAAACTTTTTTAATTGAGGCAAGCAGATTTGTCAAGTGTTGCTCACAGATACACATGGATACGTTTAAGTGTGCAAGTTGAAACAGGGTGAAATGCGTTGACAAAATGTTACAACTGAAACCTGCCAAAGTCTTGTTCGTGTACTCGTTATATTAAATAGAGAAAACAACTTTTTGTTGCGCGCTGAAAGTGTTGGCATTCGCGAAATGTTTTTGATATTTTAACAAAGTGTAAGTGTTGCACGGAACACGCCTTGTTGGTATAACATTTGATATATTTAATGTAACAAAAATGTTTCTAGACCCTAGGCACAAAGTACAAAATTAAAGAACAACTTAAACTTAATATGTAAGCTGTACGCAGCTGATATGCAAACATTTTCCCGGGCCAAGTAATTTTCTTTTAGTTTTGGCTATCATTTTCCTTTACAGAAAACTTAAATTGTGTACTGTTTGTTTTTATGTAAAACAAAATAAATTTATATATATTACTTACCAGCTGTACTTTCCCAAAAAGTGCAGACTTTTATATAAGCACATCACTGAAATTAAAAGAAGTAGAAAGCTGATATGATTAAATTAGTATGCGTAACTTAGAGTAAGAGGTTGAGGTTGAGAAAATAAATCCAAAAGATCGCCAAAAATAAGTAAAAACCTATAGTCATAGTATGAAGACTTGCAAGTGCTATTCGAATTCGTGAGAATCGCATAGAAGGACAACATTTAACATTTCGTTTGTTTTAACAGTTTTTTTATAGAGATTGATGTATGAGGTTGAGGTTAAGAAAAGAAATGTAATAGATCGACAAAAAAAGTTGTAGCTTATAACCATAGTATGAAGACCTTTAAGTACTATTTGAATTCATGAGAATCGCATAGAAGGACAGCATTTAACATTTCGTTTATTTTAACAGTTTTATGTAGAGATTGATGTATGCACTACTATATAATTCAAGAGCTTGAAACAACTTAAACACTTAATTGCTTGTCATTAACCGAAAGGAAACTCATTTTCATGTATTTTGCTTTTCCTCTCGCTCAATTTCCTTTCAGCGGGTGGCAACAAGTGCAGCCTGCCGCCTGCACCGGGCAGGCAATTTCATCGCGCAGCTGGCGGCTGTGAGTTTTCGTTTTGGTGTTGGCTTTCCTCTTTGCCATGGTAAGCCACAATGCGAAAATTGTGAAAACGGAAAATGGCACGAACGCATCCATTATTGTAACAGCCGGCAGAAATGCAACGCAACCAATGAAGACAACGACGACGACGACGACGACGACGACGACGGCGATGATGGCAACAACATTGTCGGCTTCCCTGGCCGACTTGAGCGATCAGGAAAATGGGACGACGGGTAAGTGCGAAATTATTCCAATGATTCACGCGCTCACGCCTCCGGCTCATCCATGGCAACAAGCCAACGAGAGGCAAAAGTAGAAGCTGGTTTAAATCAAATTAGTTTTCTAAAGGCTGCCCCTTCTTTATTTAAGCAATATTTTCGCTCTGCTTTCCAACTAAGGCAGCGAGATTGTTAAAAGATTCTGTTTACAAATTTAAGGAAATAAATATTGACAAGAGACTTAAAAAAATTGATTTAGGTATACAAAGTATTAATATAAGCCTGTGTTTTACATTACTTTTAAACTAGTTTCCGAACCGTTTTTGTGTAAATATCCTAATCAACCGCAGCTGAGCTACTTCCAAATAAAATCAAGTAATTCCTTGAACTTGTCTTTTAAAAAAACAGCTCGCAACCTTAGAATTTTGAACCCTGTCCTTTCTTTAAGTTGGCTTGGTTCGGCATTAAATTGAGTTACGCGTTGGTCGTGGTTTATCCAGCCGCGGGCTGATGTAACCCCGAAGCCAGTTAATTTGGGCTTGTCACGATAGCTTCGGCCCACGCCCATGTTGTGCGCGATACTCTGGAAACTTCTTTGACTTGTCGCAGTTGTTTTATATTAATTAAATTACGATTCATTGTGGCAGGGCTAAGATAATTAGAATACTCTTCAGTTCTACAAGGCCTACGCTGTCTAGCTGAAGTTCAATTATTACTAAGCATAATTATGGCAAAACTTTCACTTTGATTTGTTATTAACAAGCTTTTTATTTGTGCCAAAGATATTTTAAAGTTCAAGTTTAATTCAACTATGAATTTGGGTATTTTTAAATCCTCCAGAAAGTTGGGCAGAACTTTAGGCTGACCAAATGGCAACCTGTTGTCCGTTGTTTGCCAAAAAAAGAAAAGAAGTAAATATTGATTGAAGCATGAGGACGGGCTCAAAGTTTTATGAATGAACAAGCGACAAGGCCTTCGGTTGCCCTGAGCCCTGTTTATTGATTGAAATTTGGTATTCCTTAAATAGGCAACCTATGCAAAAAGAGAGAAAAAAAAAATACAGGGAGAAGTTATAACTGTTCCTGGCGAGGGCGAAGTTATCGGATTTGTCGTGTTTGTGACATTTTTTTTGGCAACTCGCCTAATCGAAAATTTTGACAAAGTTCTCGCTTAAAGTTCTTAAATTTGTCAGTTTATTAACCAAAGTTAATTGGGCTCGAGTGCAAATTCCCAGAGTATCAATCCAATGGAAAAGGCAGCAAATATTTTAAATTTTAAACAAAAACCCACACAAAAAAAGGCAAAGCATTTTGGGCTAATGAAATACTCAAGACAGTCTATTAATTTGCTTTTCGACATTGGACAAGTCAATTGGGTATTATAGAAAAAATAAACAAAAAGTCAAAGCTTGTTTATTGATTTACAATTTGTGGCCTTAAAAATAAGGAATGCCGAAAGAAAGACTCTGAAAACTGTATTCATGTCTCGACATGATTATTCTCATATTAATTTGGAGTTCAAGTTGAAAGTATTGCGCTTTTTGAATAAATCCCTTTATAAACTTGATAAACTAAAGTTTAGCTACGCCTCAGTTCCAAGTTATATTTATAATAGGAGAGCGCTATATACAGAAAGTATGCCGTTGATACTGGAATTGTTTATAAGGTTTGTAGTTAATTATTTAACAAGCAACTAAATGCATACTTACCGAAACTAAAGGCCACATACATCCAATAGGCAATCAAATGCATTTTACTTTCATTCACAATCATATTGGAGCCCATTGTGGTAGAAACTATGCTAAACGCAAGTACATAGAGAAACAGGCTGCCAGCAAGTATTACATATAAGAGTACTAAAGCAGTTATGGGCTTAAAATACAAATTAAGTTAGTTAATGTTATTAAGTTCTTCCAGTTGTATGCTTACCGCCAGTGTGTAAATGAACAACATAATGCCGGCGATTATCATTAGGAATTCTGGCACCAGCTGAAGCATAACATTTAGATCGTTTACTTGAAACAAAGTACAACATTTAAATCTAAAACAAAAATTAGCAGTTTTTTATATGCTTTAAATACTACCTGGAAATAGATATTTAATTCGGGCCACTTTATAGTCTACAAATGGAGAAGAAGAAATATTGCTTTGATGGCAATGAAATGCAAATAAGGCAAATAACTTTTACCAGTAAGGATCAAGATAATGAAGTCTATGTTCAGGACAGAGCAAAAAATGGAAAAAAGTGAAATCCCAATGCAGCCCGAGCGTAATGACAAGCAATAGCAGCAGCTTTTCGCATAGCACATCTTTTCGATTCTAATGTAAAAAAAAAAACTTAATTAAAGAAATACAAAAATAATAATAATATTCGATTTGAAAGTAAATGCTAAGCTGAGCTGGTAAATGAAATGAAATGACCAATCAATTGACTCGAACTCAATTCAATCAATAAACTATCATATGCCCATTTCTGTTATTAACGAGCACATTCTAAGCATATATGCTTATAACCAAGTTATCTGTCACCCTGTCTGTGGAGTGTGATTATATTGTTGACTCAATTTTCATTTTAATTCCATTAGCATAAAGATGGGCGCACACACACATGCACACACACGCACACGATGCTAATGAGGCTATAATATAAATTGCTTAAATTGCAAATAATGCAAAAAGTTAAGCTGAAAGAAGATGTTGCGCATACGCCACGTATACGCTTAGGATTCGTGCAGCTATTAACAGCAATTTGCCTAAATTGTATATCAACAGCTGAGCAAGCAATAAAACATATAGACATGTGTGTGTGCGAGTGTGTGTGCGTGTGTGTGTTGATGAAGTATATAAATTATGCATACGCCATGGTTAACACAAACGAAGAAAATTTGCAGACATAATAAAATAAGGATAATATGTTAGCCGGAAACAGACTTTTCAAGCTTTACTCTGAAAGACGAGTTCATTTATTTTGATGAACTTTAAGGCGCGCACTCAATGCTTTAATCAACTTTACGGCTTTGTCCAGCTCAGCTTTGGTATAGCTTAAACAAAACTGTGTCTTAAACATCTTGAATGGCATGGAAATTGCGACTTAATCTTGAACGGTTGAGCAGGCTGGTCCCCTTGGCTGCCCCCCTTGGGGCAACAACTTGGTCCTCAAGTTGCCTGCCAGAGCCGCAAGTTCAACAAAGTTGCAGCAACCGCTTGCACTTTGTCTCCAGGACTTGAGCAGGACTTGGCCGGCATCATCCTTACTTTCTTTATTGTTTTAATTGAAGGCAGCCGCTGCGTCTTCGTTTGTCTTGGTGGTTTTACAAATTATGAGTGCAATCAATTGGCAAACAGTTGATTACGTCTGCTCTAATAATTTGTGAAAATTCCAAATTTTCCCTTTCAGTACAAACTTGTGCAAGCTGTTTAAACATGATAAGCAAGGATATTTAGTACTTTTCTATAATGCATTTCTAGCTTAGCTAGAAGCTACCCTTTCTCATTATATATGAATATACTGTCGGAATATTAGCAAATAGATTTCAGGCTCATTCTTCTCACTTAATTAGAGCAAGAGCAGTGCATATGTCAGCTCTTGTGATTGATTGCAGTATCAATTAATTCGCCATCAATGGTCCAGCATCAAGTGTGTGTTGACGAGCCCTTAAAAATACAGAAAAAAAAACACTAAGCGACCATATAAATAATAGCGAAAAAATAAAATCATTGGCCACACATTCTCAGGGCCTCGCTGGCAGGGAGTAACACAGGAGCAGGAGCTCATCTATCATAATCGAGTGGATGCCTGTACAGTTTGCACTCCACACACACACGCAGCTCACATCTAACGTATTTATGGCATCTTAATTGAATTTCAATTTTCAATTTCGCCTTTTAATTGAATTCAATGAAAAAGTGTCGATGAAACGGTATTCACTGCTTTGTGTGCACATCCCTCCACGTTGCCACAAGCCCCCGATCCGTCCGGCTCTATGCTCCGGCTCCGTTGATGCCTACGCTGTTGTTGTTATTGCTGTTTATTCAGCTGTTGCTGCTTCTGGGATCGTCACCAGGGGAGACGCGTTGTCGATGGCGCCAACGATGCGACAAGCCACCCGGCACCAGCACCAGCACCCGGCCCCAGCTCCCGGCCTCGTCTGGTATTTGCAGCCGAAGCTCCCCCTTTAGCTGGCGAATCCATTGGGCCCGCAATTGGCTTGGTCTGATTGCGCTTAAATATACGTTTTCACAGGGCTTGGCTTGTGATTGACTGCCAAGTTGTAAATTGATTGGCCAGCAAAAATATGGGCTAGCCGAGATAAACAAACCATTTGGCCAGCATAATGTGCAAATGTCAGAAATTGAGCTCTATTAGATAATTGTCGGTGACTTTTAGCGTCGTTTAAATTGGACACAAAGAAATACGTCAAATATCAAAGAAAATTAAATTATTATTATTATTATTAAGATGAACTATATCACATTCATATTATAAATAGCACTATAATTAATTACAACAAAGGAGCGCTAGCGTCCAGGCCTTCAGCTAAAAAAAAAATTGTACAAATTGACAAATATATTTTTTTTAATTTTTAAGTTAATTTATAAGATATTAAAGCTTAGTTTTAGGACTTAGCAAGGTATAAAAACTAACTTGGCCAACAGTTTGCAGCTGAAATAACTGAAATGTAAAATGAGCATTCAATTTGTATCTGTTGCTGCCTCTGCATATATCTGACACCGGCTCTGACACTGGCTCTAGCTCTGGCTCTGGCTCATTATGCGGTGTCATGCGCTATGTGGCAATCGTTGTCAATGTCGATTACCACCCAGATCTCTCGTTTGCATTCATCATGCATGGCTGTGTATATTCTGGCTTGGCACATATTAGATTTATGCCACTCAGCAGTGGAAATGTCAGACAATATGAACGGATTTGCATGCCGGGGTTACACATGGGCCACACACACCCACACACACCCACACACACCCACACACACTTAAATCTACATCTATAAACATGAACGGGTATTAGGCGACATTGCCCAAAGATAAAACGAGCTGGGAAAAGAAGTAGAAGAAAAAAAAGTAGCATATATATATATATGTAAATTGCTTTGACAGTGGAAATGCGGCCTCATCCATTGTTGGGATTTCTTTTTATTACTAAAATATGCATATTACTTACAATTTGACGATGCTATGATTCGTACTTAAGTGCGTACTAGGCGTGCCTTTTGATCGCGGCTCTAGGAAAGTATTGTCGTAATGCTCATAAATCGCATTTGTCTGGCAAATCGTTGGCTGCTCGCGTCAAATTCAATTTGCATGTCACTGAGATTATTATTTGCTTCATATTAAATACACATTTGCGACAAATGGCACATCGTTTGCCCGGTGGGCTTAACTCTGCTATTCCATCGATTTCGATAAAGAAGTAAATAAACTGCAGCTGTTGTCTATCTTAAGTCTTAGATGACCATTTTCAATGCTCTCAAAAGTGTCTGCCTTGTGGCATTGAGTCAGGAAAATACATGCTGAGTAACAGACAAGTGCATCTAAATAAATTGGGCTTTAAAAGAACAGGCTGAGTGCAAGTACGTAGTCTGTATAGACGACCCGAAAATAAAAACATGTTGGAAGTGCTCGAGTAGAAAAAAACCTGAACTTTTTTCTACTTTTACTTACCTCACAGTCATATCAAGAATTCAGTCTCAATGAAAACAAAATGAACTCAAATTGCAAATTGAAATTCTATTTTTGTGTCTGTATGTGTGAATGTGTGCACATGTATGCGGACATTGTTGCGCTTTGCGCTTTCCTTCAATAACTTCTATGTTTCTGAACAGATCCTGATGAAATTTTCAGCAGTTGATCTTATTGTGCTATGGAATATTCGTATATACTCAAAAAGACAGCATTAAGGCTTTAATTGATTTGTTTTTTTCATTTATAGATATGAGGAGCAGGGCTGGGTATGATGCTATCTATAAAATGAATGATACTTGTATACCATGCCAATTTGGGTGACTTAAGCTTTTAAAATCTAAGATATTTGTTAAAAACGAGGCAAGTTAACGATGATCGAAAACCAACTTGTATTTAGCGAACACTAGTAGGACCTAAATTCACAATTTCAAGTCACTCTCTTATAGATTCTGATATCAACGTGTTTATATAGACGGTGTTTATATTGACTCGACTATTGATGCTGACCAAGAATATATATACTTTCTGGGGTCGATATTGCCTCCTTTTGGCTATTGCATACATTTGCACAAAAACGTTACCCTTTACCCATTTTTAATGGGGTATTCAGGGTATACAAAAATCGAGGTTCTATCGTCAGCCAACTCCGCAATCGATTTCAGGTTTGATGCTTAAACTCATTGGGAATTTGAACGATTAACAGCAAAGCGAGCAATATCACAATATTACTGCATTCGAATGGTCAGTTTTTGGGCTAGTTGAATAAATTGATATTCATAATCAAATTTATTACAATAAAATTAATTGTCGATTAAGAGTGTAACTCAGCTTAAACTTTTGCTTAACTTAACTTAAGCTACATACTATTGATTTTCTTAAAGCCAACTTACGCTTGTGAAAACTAAAAACGAGTCAAAATAGATACCTGAGGCTTCCCAAGGACAGATTCCAAAGGCTGGCTGAACTATTTTCCGTTTGTAATATTGAAAAGCTAAGCGTTTCGCACTCAAATGGCTGATTGACTGACATGCTGGGGCTCTGAATGAAGGTAACAAATACGGCACGACTAAACGAAAAGAAATTGGAAAAAGTGCGTGGCACTGGTGACAATTTCAATGGCGGGCTGTTGGGTGGGGCTGGGCTTTTGTCTTAGGTGGCCATTATTTAGGGAGCACACGCACAACAATAAATAAACGGGAAGGCCATCTTTGTGTAGTAAAAAACATTGCAAAATAGTCGCACATTGTGTGCAAGAGAAACAAGCTAAATACGTGCCCAGGGTTTCGGCATTCTTGTGCTTTCCTCCTGCACAGTGGTTGAATGAGGCAAAAAAAGGTGTTTAAATGGAGTCGGAAAAGAAAAGCACTGAGTTCCTTAAGCTTAAATTATATAGAGCATATGTAGGATATATAGCATGTCTTGGTAAAATATATTTTGTAAATATTGTCGGACAATTTTTGAAAAACTATTCACTGTGCAACAATTTGGCATTGACACTCGCCCTGGCAAAGGTGTTCGACTGACTGCAGCTTGATTAATGCGATGGCATGACATTTTCTTTTTTTACCTGTTGTCCCCAACTCTGGCATTGGCAGACTTTGTCACTGGGAAATTTGTATGGCCAGAGCTGGCTGTGTCGCCAACACTTGATGATAGCTTTCGGCCAGCATTCACATGATTCATTAAGGCCAACCTGTTGATTACTTTGGCAGAGCTGTTGATTCATTTTGTGGCCGGCGGCTTTGTGGCCAACAGTTAAATCGTAAACGAGTTTATTGCCAATTGAATCAGTGCAAACTTTGGAATTGTGGCAAGTGCAAAGCATGAATTTGAAAACCACATGAGTAAAGGTTTATAGGGCAAAAAAAACCGAAAAGTATGTTGAAATAAATTTTCGAGTTTTGGTTATATTTTTATAAAAATAAAAGGCAATCAACCACATGACAAATTGTCATATTAACAAAATATTTATTTAAGTCTAAAGCATTAATTGAGTTTGCAATAAATACAAATCGATAGCTGTTTAGTGAGCTGATTATTGAGCACTTTGGTGAAAATCCACGACAATGTTTGCCATATAAATGAAGGTGACGGAAACGTGCGGCCGGACCATATTGTTGGCCTTGGCATGCGGCACACGGTGCACGACCCAGAGCTTGTGATAGTACTTGCCACAACTTCAGGCACGTAATTTACAATCTTGCAGCAGGTGGTTTGCTGCTTCGAGAATGCTTGTTGTTGTTGTGGCAGGCTGCAACTGCAGTTGTCCTTGAGATTTCTGCTCGTAATTTGTTGCTTTTTATGTGTGTACACGGGGCGTATGTGCAATATATAAACAAGCACATGGTCAAAGAGAAAACATTGCATATCTTTGGGCGCACATCGAAAGAATTTAATGAATTTTTAAAACAAACATGGTTCAAATGAATATTCGGAAAATTTGACGTGTGGTCATCAATCTCTGGCACACAGGACACTTGCATGTGGCGCGCAATGCGGTCTTTATGCAACTGCTGCAGAACACATGACCGCATATGGTCGAGGCGGGCTTCCGTTGACGCACACATTTCAGGCAGACCGGACATTTGTACGGTTCCATATGCGTTGGGGGCACCAACACTTCCGATTCCTTTCTTCTCGCTGCCGGCTGCTCCACAGCTGGGCGAGCTGGTGAGGCCGATCTGATTGGGCTGGGCGGCAATGGAGGCAATGCTACATTGTTGGCGCTGGCTACATTCGATCCGCCAATCATTGACAATGACGGCAGCCTGTAGGAGATCTCTGCCAGCGTGCTTGTGTGACGACGTCGTACCGAAGTACTGACAGCTGGTATTGCTAGAGCTGAAGCGTTCAGACTCGATTCTCGATTCAGATCGATTCTTGATGGAGGAACGCGTGGCGGAGTTGGCAAACGTACAGCAGTTGGCACTGCCGAGCCAATTAAATTAAATTCACGACTTGACTGTTCTGAAGTCTCCGTGGGCTTATCTGCAAATTGTTTTAAGGTGGGAGATGGGAGTTGGCCATGGGCAGTCACACATTAAATAGAGAAAACTGGAATGGCCGTCTGTCCCTTCGATGCTATTAAAACCAGTCGTAAAATGTTAAGCATATGCACTTCAATCTTGGTCATGATCACCCATGATGACACGCATAAGATGAGATTTTCAAAGTCTATAGCCCCCCATAGCTAGTATTCCCCCTCTTAAGTCCCTATCACAGTTGAAGAGAGTATCTCGCAGTCATGTTGATACTTACTACTTAGAGTGCCCGATCCTACCCGTGCCATAGTTGACTCTATATTCTCGCATTCGAGCTGCACTGCATTTAAAGGTATAAATAATTATTACTCCTGCTCCAACTTATCATGGAGCATGCAGATCTTGTGCTTACGGCGTGTTAATTCCGCATCCATGTTCCTGTAATCGAGCAGACTGGGTGTCCAGGCCTTGTCGTTATCATTTCTAGCCCAACCCAGGTTGTTGGCACTGTTGCTGACGTGGGTGGGTTCGTCGATGCTGTGCGTACTGTTGTTTGTTGTCATGTTGCTTGTGGCAAGACTATTGGCATCATAGTTTTTGTATAGCAAGCTAAAATATTGATCGTCCATCATACACTGCTCGGCCACTGCTCGCTCCAAGGCGTACTATAAGAACTGCTTCTCAGACACAGTTGACATCAGGATATCGAAGATATCGCTTACCTGGGAGCGACGTATTGCATGCGACATTATGTTATTTGTAGTATTCGAATCTCCGTTGAATCTAAACATGATGATTACCAGAATTTATAAAAGCTGAAAAATAAACTTCATCTGTAGCCTATTTTAGACAAACTGATTCGACAGTTAAATTGCTTTTTGACCATATTCACATGGTTCGCATGATTCGAACATAACATTTTTTATTTAGCTAGTATTTGATCTCGGTAAGAGGATTGCAGCTCGACCCTTCACATTGTCAATCCAAATTCAGCGTATTACAAATTTATGCCGCTGAATGCCTTGACATGTGTCTGCACCTACTTAATCACAGGGAAACCAGTGAAAAGCCGTTGCGGCTTTTCCTTTGCGATGCTGTCGTATTAAATCTATGCCAAAAGCCTTACAGTCGGCAACGTTCTGTGCCCTGCCAAACTCTTCAACTGTTTCGCTTTAGACGCTTCACTTTTTATGACCTGCAGCGCAGCAATGCCGTAGACACACACGCGAATCTGTCATCCTTTCACACACACACATGTGGGTAGGGGTGAGTGTGGATGGGTGTGAGTGTGTGGCTGGGTGTGAGTGTGAGTTTAGCCAACGCTTTCAAAAGACTTTCTGTTTGATTGCAGAGAATAAACAAGTGAAGGCAGCCGCTGCACGCGGCAAAGATTATTTCCGAGGGCTGTTCAGAAAGTAATGCGTTCTCTTAGATATATGCTAGAAAGTTTCAATAAGGCAATCAATAACTAGCTGATAAGTTATTTTTCTCAAAAATATATTATGTTATGTAGATTTTATAGATATATTAGAGATTAATTACAGACTAATGCGCCTTCTCTAATACATATGCTAGAAAGTTGCATTAATGCAATAAATAAAGAGCTGCTAAGTTGTTTTGTTTTTTTAAATAATTAATAATATTATGCAACATTTGTTCACATAATGTATATCTAATCTTCTTGGGCAGCTTTTATGGATATATTAGAGATATATTTTAGGCTAATGCGCCTTCTCTAATACATATGCTAGAAAATTGCATTAAGGCAATAAATAAAGAGCTGCTAGTTGTTTTTTTGCCAAAACAAAATAATATTATGCAAAATAGGTACACTTAATATGCATCTACTTTTCTTGCGCAGTTTTTATAGATATATTAGAGATATATTACAAGTTAGTGCACCCTGCAATATCTCGCATATTGTAGCGAATGCAACTATTTAATATACCCTCGTCAATAAGTGACTGGGTTGATTTGCTCGCCATTTTGCCTGCAGCGTGAGCTGAATTTAACACACATCCTGTCAGGGTATGCGACATTTATCCTTAATGCGCGTTTCAAGCTTGTGGCTAAGTGCGGTTTTTTATGCGCAGCTGCTAGAGTTAACATAAAAATTGTAAATATCATATTAATAAAATCAAATGCATTAAAATCATTTATATTCTTGATTTATGTTGATTTTGCATTCTTTATTGAGCTGAAAGGCAGCTGAAATGTGATACCCTTTGATATATGCATGAGTACCCAATGGATACTCAATGAGATTAAGTATTCAATGAGATATTTCAACGGCAATGAGATTAAGTATTCAATGAAATATTTTAATGTATGTTGCATAGATTTGGTATGCGGGATTTTTATCAGGCAAACTCGTCGATAAAGTCTTGCCTCCTTGTTCTGTCCCTTCGATTTAATGTTCGGTTATTGTTCAACAGATACTTTAATAAAAATTGCATTATTATCAAATTATTTATGAGTAAAAAGTATAAGAGCACATTTGAGTGCTTTTATCTTTTCTTGCAAGTAATTTGCCCAACTCGGCTGCCATTCAGTTAATTAATCAGGCTGTGTGCCAACAGCAGAGGCCGGCGGCCAGACGCACTTGACCCTTCAAGTGTGTTCGGCCATGCTCGCTTATATGTATATATTTTCGTGAGTTTTCTTGGACTGGAAAAAAAATCGATGCTGGACTCGCCTGCATAGTATAAAATTTAAGCAATATAAACATTCAACACCTGGCCCAGGTTTGGCCCACTAAAAATAAACACATACACACACACACACACACACACAGCCTGGGAGGCCAGATATCGAACACTGTCCAATGTCTGTGCCATAAATAAATCAAAGAATTCAAATGCCGCCAATTAGCAGGCCACATGGTTACTCTCTATATCGATTTACATACGCACAAAAATAAAATAAGCCACAATACAAAGCAAAAATATGTTAATTTTGATGTGTTGGGCAATCGAAGGGCGTTCTGACCTTTTGATTTTGACTGAACGTGCCATCCTAATGAGGTGTACGATTGCCTTTGTGTGCGTCTGTGTGTGTGTGTGTGGGATATCTGCCGACTGCATAATTTATAATTGTGCTTAACAAACGTTTGCATAATTTGCTGATAATTGTTTTGCGTTTGTTCGTTTATTAACGAGACTTTTAGCCACAATTGCTTTTGTGTAATTGATACATGCTCCTGATACCCTTCAAACAAATGTGCATATAAAAGGGGTGTGCTGGTTTTATGCAATGCTATGTAGCAGAAGAAGCCTCTAAATAAAGCCTCTTTTAAATTTTGAATAATTAAATTTCTTGTGTATTATAAAAATGGATGATTATCTTCCATGGATGAGTATTGAGTGTAAAGGATGCACTTTTTTCCAGAATATCTATGAGCTTATATAGAAGGCAGATTAAACAAATTGTGGCTTGTGCTTTCGTTAGGATTACACAGATAAATACCTAAATTAAAGAAATATTAAATTTATAAAGCAACTGCCTTGTTTTTGGATACAATCATACACTTGATTACCATCTTTAAGCCCTGAACATGCTAAGCCCATCAGATAATCAATAGATAACTTATTCACGAAGACAATTTCCATGAGGCTAAAGGAAGCCCAAGCGCTGCATAAGCCCAAAGTTGATTATAGGCTATCTTTTTTGGAAGGACATGATTAATTCATTTCTTGAATGTAGCTTGAATTCAAGCTATAAGCCAAATAATCTATATTTAGATGTTATTATTATTATAATTGAGGGCACACGCAGTTATAAAATTTCATAAGCGCCAGAGTTGAAATGTTGGGCAGCTTTTAGCTGTACTCAAAACAAATTACCCATTTAACACGCAAAGCTAATGGGCCAAAACAACTGACTTTTTGTTTGCTTGCAGCTGAGGATATACACCTGAACGATTTATATACACGCTACCGGCAGAGGCTGCGCAAGTCGCTGTTCAGATCGGGTCTGGTCACATCGCTGGTGGCCTGCGTCGTGTCCATAATAATTGGCATCGTTTACGAGCAGGTAAGAGCATCGGCATTGGCACTAACACCTGGTCGTTGAGAGTAAATGTGTATTGGGGATTACAGCACCTGTTGCAGACCCTGCTGCTGGTATTGGCCGCCCTAATCTCTGGCTCGATACTGACAGCGCTGCAGTTTCCGGCGGTGCTCAGCTCGCCAGCGGCAGCCTTGGCCTTTGCCATTGTCACCACCTTCTCGCTGGGCACCATTGCGGCCATCACTGGCGGCGAGCTGGCTCCGCTGCCCATGTATGCACTGTTTCTGGTAAGTGACTGAGTCCCTGGCGCGGATTATTGTATTTGTGCTTTAATGTGTGTCTATTGCATAACAGGGCATCCACACGATGCTGCCCATTTCCTGGCCGGTCTCCGTGGTGCTGGCGTTATTTATGACGGCCGTACACATCGTTTACAGAATCGGCACCAGCCCGGACTATGCGCCCAATTTACCTATGGTAAGCCTTTATTTGCATTTCGCATTTTCCATTGCATTCGCAATAGTGAGTGGCACTTTATTTTCGGTGTACATGTTGAGAATATATTGAGAAAAAAGGATTCATGCCACATAATACGAAAAGTACCTTACTGTTAAATGATTTCGAAAGCAGGACAAGAAAATGTACAGGCTGACGCTTTATAATATTACAAAAACAGAACTTTTTTAATATTTATGTGAGTTCATCATCAAAATACTAACGACATACACTGCAAGCCTTACTTGAATTCATGAAAATCGCATAGAAAGGCAATATTTGGAAGGGAGAATTCAAGTAAAGTACCTCCCCTTCCTTTCAGTCCGTTGTTTCCAACTTAAAGTATCTTTTAAATAAATCAATAAGGATTTGCTTGAATTAACAAATACCTTAAATTTGCAAGAAACTTTGATTTTTCATGGCATTCTTCGCCCAATATAAAGTTTTCGAACCGATTGACAGCAATTTTGTTATCTTTGCAAATGAATTGGCTGTCAATTTCGATTAGTTATATAAATAACTAAACTATAATTGGCCAATTAATATTGTGATAACTATTTATTGCTACTTACATGAACAGCTCGAAATTCATCTGCTTTACAACGGGCCATCAAATAACTTGGCTAACTTTTGGTAACATTTTCCCCGCTTCAATTGCGCAACACAATTGGCCTGCTGCCCACCCAAAACCCATTGCATTGGTATTGTGGCAGAGTTAATTAGCTGGGATTGTATGTTGGGAATTCCGATTACGGGTCTGTGGTAAAACGTTGCAGGGTTTGGTTGCCGACTGTCAATTGGCTCTATTATTCAATGTGACCCCGTTTAACTCTGTCTCTCTCTTTCTCCCCCACTCTCTCTCTCGCTAAGCTGTTTGGGGAGATTGTGATGTTGGCCAGCGCATCCGTTTCCGGTCTGTACTATCGCATCATGTCGGATGCCGCACACAATCGCACCGTGGATGGCACACGCACTGGAATCGAGCAGCGCGTAAAACTTGAGTGCGAACGGGAGCAACAGGAGCAGCTGCTTCTAAGCGTCATACCCGCATACATAGCCGCAGAGGTGGGTAATTGGCCTGGTTTCCTACTGACTGAACCCACATGCTCTTTGCTTTTAACATTTGTGTGTGCAGGTCAAGCGAAGCATTATGCTGAAGATGGCGGATGCGTGCCAGCGTGCCGGCGGCCAGGCCTCCACCTCGGCGACGCGCTTTCACGAGCTGCACGTGCAGCGGCACACAAATGTCACAATACTTTTTGCAGACATTGTTAACTTTACGCCGCTGTCATCATCCTTAACGGCCAGTGATTTGGTCAAGACACTCAACGATCTCTTCGGTCGCTTCGATCAAATAGCCCAGGTGAGTACAGTAACTGGTCAACAGGTTGAACCTTTGCCTAAACGTGTGCGCCTCTTAAAGGAGAACCAATGCCTGCGCATTAAAATTCTGGGTGACTGCTATTATTGCGTGTCCGGGCTGCCCATCTCAAGGCCGCAGCATGCCACCAATTGCGTCAACATGGGCCTACAAATGATCGATGCCATCAGGTGAGTTACTCTTCAAACAAGTCAACACTCACGCGCGCGTTACGTATACGACATGTTTGCCGTTGGTCGACCTTTTTGACTTGCCGTTTGGTGTTTGGTTTGACAGTGCAGGTGTGTGTGTGTGTGTGTGTGTGTGTGTGTGTGTGTGGTCTTCAGTTGCCGCCAGGGCTTGTGTAAACGTTTGTTTTACTTTCAGCACTTTGATAGTTGCTGTCGGCCCTAGGTGGATGGATAGCTGGATAAGCACACTCATCTTTGACACAAGTGCAAACAATTGGATGTATGCTTACACATGCAACAATAAATTGTACACGCTTTCTACTTAATATCAAGCACAAAGTAGATTTATGTTAAGCTTTAACTAGATGTCATTGTTATTGTTATTTTGCCTTCGCCTTGCTGTCGGCTTAATGTTTTCGTATGTCAGCTTTAATTGCCAACAGATAGACACGTATCCAGTTTTTATGGCGCCTATTAAAAACGTATTATGCAATAAAAGAGCCGGGCACAAAAAAATGCGCAGAAAAAAACCCAAGTAACATAAAATACAATATACAATATCGACACAAAAGCCATTTTATTACATGCTTGGAATTATGCGCAAGTGCCCAAGGACCAAGAACATAATGTCCAAAAATGTTTACAACTCTCTAGCGTATACCCTACAAATCGGTAGAGTATCTGTGTCCAGCTGATGCTGTTAAATGTTCATTAAACAACTTAAAAAAAAAAATGTTCAAATAATTTTGGATATTTTTTATGTAAAGTGTACCCATTTTTCTCAAACATTCTATCATTATTTTTCAATGGAAGCGTATGCAAGATTCGGCTGCATTATTTTTTTGTCTTTTGTTTTTTTTCTTGTTTTATTTGGCAATGCGCACATTTCTATTGTGTTTATTATGTTGCCGCTTTCTTACATTTCATTTCATTTTATTTTACTTTAAGTATTTCTTTTGTTCTTTGCCGGAAGGCATTTGGCTTTTCAATCTCTGGACGACTGTTGTGGCTTAAGTTGCTTTTTCGCTTTGTTTGTGCCATGCAGATGCAGCCCATTAAACAGGGCGACTTTTCTACTTTGCTCCTCATGAAAATGTCAAATTTGTGTGCATGTGTGTGAGTGTGTGTGTGTATTTGTGTGAAAGTTTAATTGTGCAGTAGAGCAGGTCTTCTTTGCTCTGGATTTAATTTTTTTGGCATATTCTTCGTCTACCAGAATGAAAATTGTGCTGCGCACAAAAGTAGGCAACACATTTTTTTTATTTACCTGAGCACAATTGAATTCCAGGCATGCCCGCATTCGCCACATTTTCTGCGTATCATCTAATTTAACTTAACAAAAACTCAGCTCTGAACAACATGTTTTAATAATGACCTTTAGATATCCACATATACCTGCTATATTATGAGTACTCGGGTCGGGTTTGGGTGGGGCAAAGGAAATTCACAAAATATGGCACATTCGAGTAGTCATACTTCTGAATAATTAAATCAAATTCGCAAAACTTTAACAAATTAAAACGGCCGCCTCTCAAGAACTTTGGCCCTTGAGAAAACCTGCTGCATAGACCCACACACCAGCATATGCTGTTGTTTGTTTGTGTAAGTGTTGCAGTCGTAAAACAAACCCAATGACCCAAAAAACAAATAAACCGAAAAGGACTCCCAAGTGATTTGTTTTCCAAGTCGATTTACTTTCGTTGCGACTCATTTGGCGCAGGAAATAGAAACAACACTGCAGCACAGAAAATACTATTTAATGTTAATAACTCAAGGACTTGTTGGTCTAAACGTAACTCGATGGACACGTGTATTTATATGAGTGGCCAGTGTCTCGGCCAGCCGCATGACATACATATATACACATATGGTATATCAGGGCTGGACTTGGACTTGGCCTGTTGTTTTATGGCTCATAAAAATGGTGCTTGTTACACAACCATAGAACTAGTTAGTACATAAGTATGTAAATATGTCGTCTGTACAGAACGGCTTTCATTGTTTGCCCTTCGCTTTTGCTTTTATTCTGACAGACACGTGCGTGAGGCGACCGGCATAAATGTTGACATGCGAATTGGCATACACACGGGCAACGTGCTCTGCGGCGTCCTTGGCCTACGCAAGTGGCAATTTGATGTTTGGAGCGATGATGTTACCCTCGCCAATCACATGGAGAGCGGCGGCGTTGCGGGGTAAGTTTCACTTCCTCTTCTTCTGGTTGATGACGCTCCAAAAGCTAACTAGCAAAACTAAGACGAACACGAACACGAACACGAGCCCGGCAGCGTGTTAAAGCAGCTGAAACTAGCTGCTGCTGCTGCGGCACACGTCATAATGGCAATTTAAATATGTCTTCATGTGCGTTCCAATTAGGGACACCTCTTGCCTTCAGGCTCCACCTGCAACTGCAATGGAAAGGCAGCCAAGGTGGCCTGTACTACCTGTAATTAGAGCTGTGTCTGGCCTAAAAATAGCCAATTGTGATTATATCATCTGAAAATTTATGCGTCTGGCAGAGGTTGCCCCAATCTGGTTCATAATTAAAGTGCTCTCTTTAAGTACAGATAATTATGTTAATTATTGTTATTTCGATTCTGCCCACAATCAAAAATCTAGCTGGCTTGACACAATAAACTTCCAATTTATTCCTTATACCAAGCTATTAAAAACAACAGCTTTCTGTGCCTATTCGAGTCAAATGATCTGTAATCCAATATTTCGGTTCCGTATGCTTGCACACGTAGCCTGCAATTATTTGAACTTGAATTGAAACGTTGCTCAATGAGCCAAACGAAATTTTGGAGCTCATTCTGCGTGTTACGCACGAGTACTTTGAGAATGCGTACAAAAAGCAGAAATAAATTTACAATCGAATAAGCGGAAATGTCAGGCGACGCACATTGTTTAAAGGTTGCTTAATTTGCATGTAAAAGAATAATATATTGAAATTCACCTGCTGCGTGGTAAATGTTTTTGTTTTAACAGACGCGTGCACATCACAAAGCAAACTCTGGACTTTCTGGGCGACAAGTTTGAGGTGGAGCAGGGCGAGGGCGGTGCCCGCGATGCATATCTGGCGGACCATAAAATCGAAAGCTATCTCATTGTTCCGCCCAAGGTAGGTGCTGCGTGTGTGCCAAGCAATCGATTTACTAACTCACTTATCAAATCCGCGCGCCTCCACAGCCCGCCTACATGCACAGCGTGCCGCGGGTCGTGGAGTGCATGGAGCACACGGAGCCTGCAGATGAGCTTGCCGTGCCCGCCAAGGAAGACAACGATGTAACTGAAAAGCTGCTGCCAGCTGAGATGCGTGCCGCAAATGCTGCCGCAGGAGATGCGGCCGAGAAGCTCTCGCCCACATCTATCAATAGTCAGGATGGTGTGCTGCATGCGCCACTAACCTCCGCCGCCTCCATGTCCATCAAGGAGCTGTCCGAAGAGGAGGACGATGTCGCCGCCACTGAGCCTCTGGTTGGCAAGCAGCTGGAGCCTGATGTCAGCAATGAGGCGCAACCAAATGTAGCGCATCGCGGCAGCGGCGACTCGAACGCTTCCGAGTCAGCGCCCAAGTCGACTGCATTGTCCTTGCCCGCCGATGATCTGCTCAGCATGAGCGGCAGTGAGAGTGGCATCTCCAACAGCGGCACCCAACCAGCATCAGCATCAGCATCCGCATCGGCATCCAATGCAGCCAATGCCACGCCCACATCAACAGCAGCAACAGGCACCGCCGCCGGCGCCAACAGTTTGACCGTGGCCGAGGCACCTGAGCGCTCCCGGCGCAAGCTATCCGTTCAGGGTAAGTGGCTACGCTGGGATTAGCTCTCATAAGAAACCATTAAGGGGCTACAACAAGTTGGTTGAGATTTAGGTACTTCTGTTTCCTTGTAGAGAAAATGTAAGGCATGCATTAGCATATTTATTAAAGAATGACATGCAGCATAATCTAGAGCTTCTAGCTTCGCCAGGCGGAAGTTTGAATACCCTAGTTGAAGTACTTTTACACAAAAGTTGTATTCCCGAGCAGAAAATAGTAAAGTTCGTAATTGTAGATCATGGTTAAGAGATCTTCATATGCAGAAAAGTTTTTTATAAAAAAATAGCTTTTAGAAGAATCTTTCTCTGGAGGGGTATTTCATATAATAATCAGATGTTGATAAGATTTTGTACACATTACATATTACCAAATTTGGCCAAGATATCTGGAACAACAAATTAGTTTTTCAGACAAGAATCTTAATATCAACCGAATAGAAAAGAGTATTAGGATTGGTTGACAAACTTTTTTTGGATGCCCTGTAATTAATATTGAAATAAAATAGAGATGGGCGCGTGTTGTGTTTTCTTTCGTGACACGAGCTAGTTTTCGTGTTAACTGAAATGTTTTCCGTGCTGCTCGTGCGTGTTTCCAAACTGCTGTTCGTGCTCGTGTCTGGTCATGTCAAAAAAACTCCTCACGAAAAATTCAACTCTAATTTAAAACCTACTTTGAAATGAGAAAAGCGAAATATTTAAGCTCTATTAGGGTATTTGAGTCATGCATAGTCGTTAACTTATTTAATTTCTTGCTTCACTTCCAACCAGGTCTGATGTCCTTCGCCGACAGACGTCGCTCCTCCGGCGCCTTTATTGAGGGACGCAAATTGTCGATACACAGCGGCGAAAGTTTTCGCAGTCATGCGGGTGAGTTGCGGCAGAGCTCTACAGATTGCAGCTGGTAATGGGCAAAGGGAGGGGAAAAATGAATGTGGAAATGGAAATGAAAGCCCATGAAACGCAACAGTTGAAAATCACTTTCGAAAATGAGCTCCAGCTTGTGCATAATTTTATCGCCAGTGTGCCAAGTTTTGCATCATAAATTTGATGTGCTTGCATTTGTTTGTGGATTGGCCTTTGTGCAAAAGTTAAACATGGCAAAAGGCGCGTCCTGTGGCCAGGACCACAACAGCAGCAACAGCAACTGGCCAACGCTGGCAATTAAGCTCCTTTTGACAACCAGCTGAGCTTTGTCCCCTTTCCGCGGTCCTCTGCTGGCTTTTATGGCTTTTAATATGGTGCGTCACGTGCCTCCACCTGCCAATTTGATGGCATTTTTAATGCGGACTTGGCATGGAACGTGTAAATTTGCTTGCAACATGTATAAAACTGATTAAATATTGTGTTGAAGCTCGCAGGCGAATTAACACGTAGCTTAAAAGTCAACGAGTGCAAATAATAATGATTTTCATATTAACGCGAAATGGGACAGTTTAAAAAATAGGACGTGATCAGAAAGGATGTCCGCCTGAATGGGTAGAGATGTAAATTTCGCTTAGGGTTTTTTCTATTTTATTCGAAAATCATCCTTTTTATGGGTTGAGATATCCATGAATCTGGGCCATTACATGAAATTGAATTGATTTATAATTCTAGGTCATGTGACACGAAATCGTCCCTCCTCAAAGATGACCAAATATGTGGAATGCTGGGGCGCCGATCGACCCTTTGCCAATATTGCCGAATCCAAGCTGGTGAAAAACATTGGACTAGCGGTAAGTGTGGGTGGGTCTTGGCTGAAGGCCATAGTTTTTCCAGCTGCCAAGGGTCAAGCAGAAGCAGCAGCCGCAGCTCGGAACAACATTAAAATTAAATTGAATTAAATTCAATTGGATTTGTGGATTTTGTTGAGTTTGTCGGTTGTTGGAATTAAGTAAACAAGCAACAGGCATGTTATGCAATCATTGGGCGCCGGCTGTTGCTGCTGTCCCGGCAGCTCCGGCTGCTCCTTTTCCGCCAGAGGACAGCAAACTGAGAAACATCTATTATCCTTTGCAGAGCATTGCCATGATTGAATCAAATTTGCTGCCGCCAGAGCGTAAATGTTTCAATTTTAACTTCTTGGGACCGCCCACAGAGCTAAAGCCGTTCACCATGTGGTACCGGAATACGCCTCGGGAGGCCATGTACCGAGAACAGCCGGACACGCACTTCCGCTTCGACCTGATATGCGCATTTGTGCTCTTCCTCTCGCTGGCCGTGGTGCAGCTGATTGTAATCGAATTGTAGGTGAGATCTAATCCCAGAGGCGATTTGCTTAACTCAGACTTGAATGCCACACGACAGAAACCTGGCGCTGCTCGGCTCGCTGCTGGCCAGTTTTATATCCCTGGCGCTGTTCCTCTATCTGAGCAACATGTCCGTGCCGGATGTGCATGCCTCGAGCACGGAGCGTAATGGGCCCGGCCAGGTGGTGGCCAGCAGTCGCTTCTTGCGCATGGCCATGTTCATCATTGTCAATATACTCATCTCATCCTGTGCCGTATTCAGTGTGGTAAGTGCATCAGCTAGCCAGACTTGCAAGTTCATGCCTCAGCAACGATTCGCAACAGATTAACTACACGCTGCCCGATGAGTTGCCCTATGCAGTCGGCAATGCCACCAATACCACCAGCGATAGCTTCAATAGCACGCTTCTGGAGGAACTGCAGCCACTGGATATTGCGCATGCCATACCCAAGGCTCCGATATTCCTTTGCTGCTGCGCCGTCAGCTTGGCGGCGATTTCGGCCTTCCTGCGTTCTGGATTTATACTCAAGCTGATTGCCATGCTCTTGGCTCTGATCGGACAGGTGATTGTGCTCGGCTATAGCGATCTCTATGTGCAGTATAATCTGCTCAACTATGACAATGGGTGAGTGTTAGCTGTACCAAAGGAAACTTAAGCTACAGCAGGAAATTTACACACAGCTTACCGCTGGAGGTGAAGGGCTTTTTGCTGCTGTTGCTGGTGATTGCCGTGTTGCATACGCTGGACCGTCAGGGCGAATATGTGGCACGTACGGACTTTCTGTGGAAGGCCAAGCTTAAGGTCGAGCAGGAGGAGGTCGAGACCATGCGCGGCATCAACAAGGTAAATACTATATAATCGAATCACACTTGCCAAAATGTTAGTTTATTCATTTGTCTCACTTAGATTCTGCTGGAGAACATTCTGCCGGCTCACGTGGCGACACACTTTTTGCATCTGGAGCGTTCCACGGAGCTGTATCACGAGAGCTACTCCTGTGTGGCCGTCATGTTTGCCTCCATACCCAACTACAAGGAGTTCTACGATGAGACGGACGTCAATAAGCAGGGCCTGGAGTGCCTGCGTCTCTTGAATGAGATCATTTGCGATTTCGATAAGGTCAGACTCATGATTCACCCACATACGTTAGCTAGAATTTGCGTATCTTGCAGTTACTTTTGAAACCGAAATTCAGTGGCATCGAAAAGATCAAAACCATAGCCAGCACCTACATGTGCGCATCTGGCCTGCGACCCGGCAAGGAGGATGGCGCCACGGTAAGCAACAGCAGCTCGTTAAGCCATCTGCTTAACTCTCTATGTGCATTAATTAATATTTCTTCAATGCTTTACTAATACTGTAAATAACCACATTGCGAATACTTGGCATGCTCAATATAGTCGCGTAGCTTTGCGGTAAGTCAAATCAAAACGAGAAACTAACGACATCTTCGGCACGCCGAAGCTTTAATACCCTGAAGGGCTTACAGATATGTAGTGAAGTTTTCACATGTTGAGCTTAATGAAAATATCTTGCAATATAAGAAACTACTTTCCGACTGATGCGTAGCTATATGATGTAGTAGATAGTGCTCCGATATTGATATGGTTTTGCATATATATAGATGGCATATTGAAACTAATTAATGCCGAGTTTAGTCAAGATATTTTGATAAACAAAAGAGTTTTCCATAAAAAATCCTACTTCTCGTACTTATGGCAGCTATATGATATAGCTCACCGATCCAGTCGGTTCCGGCTTACGTTCTGCGTGCAGCAGGAAGACGAACCTACGAAAAGCTTCAAGATGATAGATTAGTTTGCATAGAATCATAGAGACAGACAGGCGGACGAATTTATATCAACTCGGCTATTGATGCTGATCTAGAATATATATACTTTATGGGGTCGGAGTTGTCTTCTTCTTCTATGCGTTACACATATCACGGCAAAGTTATAATAACCTCTGCAAGGGTATACACAAAGAAACTAATTGTATATTGTGCTTGCTTAAAAAATCTTTCAAAGTTTTGATATTATAGCTAGTCGAGTTTAGAGCCAAACTATCTAAGAAAGATTTGTTCAAGTCTTCAAAGCCTTGTAAACAATTTAACAAATAATTCCGTAGAGGAATCGGAAAAAGTACATTTTATTAAGAATTCCTTAGCAAACATAAAATATCTATCAAATTAAAGAACAGCCTGACAATTCAGCTGACAAGAACATTAAACAAATGTAAGAGTTCGACATATTGTTTATTTTTCTTGCCGTATTTTATATTCACATTTCGAAGAATTTAGCCAGCCAGAAACTTAATCATTTCGCTAACAAATGACCAATTCGAATAGCTAGAATTTTATTTACCGTTTAAATGCCTTTTAATCGCTGCTTAGTAGTTTAATTAAACCTGCTGCACACGAAGCGAAACCCAGCAGTTAAATCAAACAATGACCCTTCACAGAGGGAAACAGAAAAAAAAGGGATCCTAAATGAGGGTTGCCATTGGATAGGGATTAGCCAAAGTTTAGGCAGCATACGCTCAATTGGCTTTCACGTTGCGGGCGGGTTGACCAGGCCAGTAAAGGCGAATGCGAGCATAATGAAAATACCCAAAAGCCAAAGTAATGTAACTTTTGTTCAATTTCGCTTTTGTGTTTCTTTTTTGCCCTTGTCTGTTTAGGATGAGAAACGCACCGAGGAGCACAATGTGGTCATATTGGTTGAGTTTGCGATTGCTTTGATGTCCATATTGGATTCGATTAATCGCGAATCGTTCCAGCGCTTCCGGCTGCGCATCGGTCTCAACCATGGCCCGGTAATTGCTGGCGTGATTGGCGCCCAGAAGCCGCAATATGATATCTGGAGCAATACCGTTAATGTGGCATCCCGCATGGACTCATGTGGCGTTATGGGCAGACTTCAGGTAAGCAACAGCAACAGTAATGAGATCTTGTGCAACCTGTGCGTTCGTTAAAACTCTCTCCCTCCGGCAGACAACGGAAAACACAGCTAAGATATTAATGGCCGCCGGATACGAGTGTGAGTGCCGGGGCCTCACCTATGTCAAGGGCAAAGGCAATCTAGTCACATACTTTGTAAAGACACCATTCGATGGGAAATTGTAATTGGATGCGTCCAGTAAAAAGCGCAATTTGTTGTTAATATTTGCTATTTATAGAATGTATAGTAACATTTTGTTATGTTAAGGCATGTTATTGTTATTATTTTATTTATTTCGGATAATCATATTTCGTTTAAGTCATTTCAAGAATTTTAAGCATTTAATTTGCGCTGCACACTAGCAACTATCTATTAAGTATTTGTTTTAGTTAACTTTTAATTGTTATGTAGCACAATTTGTTGGCAATTTAATGCGTAGCTCACTTAAACAGCGAATAATTATATAGAATATTGCGAGTACTATGCTTTAGTATATAGTCAAATCAAATACAAAAATTAACTAAAGTTAAATAACAAATGCAAATTAGCCCACCCCAAAAAAAAAAACAAACAAACAAATAATCAATACTAATATTATTATATAGGGAGTATAAATATTTATTGTGTGTGTTCCAATAGATTCTACGACTACTCGAAATTTCTTGATGACTTCTCTATCGAAATCTATTGGAACACAACATTTATTTAAATTTGATGTGCCATCTTAAGCTCTAACACAAATGTTGAACATCACAAACTATCTACGAAATTGTAGATTTTTTAAAAATAATTTTTATATTGTGCCACTTTTTGTTTTCTTAATTAAATAAAGCCGCACTTGACTTTACTGAGAAAAACAGAGGCGGCTTTGCTGGAAACCACTTGAAAATCGTACACTTTGAGAGTTATATTATCTTACCCCCACAAAACATATCCCATCAAATACGCTATACCTCCGACTTAAACCAATCTGATCATTTCTTACCTAAGGGAAAAGTGCTCTGAACTCTGTGCATATCTTTGTATTTGCTACCAAAATTTTACAAATATCCAACAAATAATCGAAATATTTACGAATGTATTAGACATATTCATTGCAAGTTGAAAATATTATAAACGAAAAGAAAAGCTTACAGTTACATACATATTATATATATATACTTATATATATATTGCAGTGCTTTTTTATGTAATTAAACTAATAAGTGATTCAAGTTGTTTGGCTATTTAGAAAATATTTGATTATTGCAACTCAATAATTTTATCAAATACTATTTATTAAATAATATACAATCGAAGCTGTTAATGTCTTATATTTCGAGTATTTAATTGTGGATTGGTTAAAATCTTTCTTTTTACATTTAAACCACAGCTTAAAGAAAATAAATAGCTTTTGGAAACTCCTTTGAGAAAATCATGTGACAAATTTGATAAAAGTCATATTTAGTAGGCTTTACATGTCTTTTCAACCTGGCTTACAGTATATTTTACGTCTGTATTGTAACAGGATTGGTTATAAGCTGCATATTTCGTTTTTCAAAAACAAATTTAACGTCAACTAAAATCACACTCTTAACAGCTGATATTGCGGATCATTATGTCCGCCGTGGTTTGCGAATTTATATTCAAGCTATTCATTGCGTATCTCTGTTTTCTGAATCTGGCTAACATAACTGCTAAGCGAGCTTTCACACTAACCAGCCAGTACAAGAAATTTTTGGGCATACCCTATGGAACGGAACAGATTCTGGAGATTCATGAACGCGAATATGAATATACGTTGCCCGCAATAGCCGCTATATTGGCCTGCATGGGCTGTGATGCCATACATTCGTTATGTTTTCTATTTGTATCCGAGGAGTTGCAGCATCGTTTGTGGCATTTGATGACCAAGCTTTTTTGGATTTCAAAAAGTCTGTGGTTATTTCTTTACATAGCAGGCTTCACATCAATTTTACGATCCCATCACGAGCTATACCTGATCACACATGGACTGCAGCTGGAGAATGTCGATGACTTGTTAATTAGTTTCAAATTTCAGTTCGTTTGGCAAACAGTTGTCTTCATATTCGCAATCATATGCTGGATGGAGGAGGACACTCTCACCAAAAACTATTACAAGCTCTTGTTGTATGAGCGCGACTATCAGATTTAAGAATAAATCACAATATGGTATGTATGTGATCTTATCAATATGCTGTTTGCCTTTAAGTCTCGCTATGTCAAGTGGCCAGTATTCAAGTGGTGTCCGGTTGCCAGCGCCTTCCATCAGCAAAATTTGAAATGAAAACGTGGCAGCACATTCTGTTGAACTCAGCATTTCTGGATCCAGAACCATTCTTTCAGGCAGTCTTATATACAAGCTAGCACAACGCAGGCGCGGAATCGGGCACAATTCAGTCGACTTTAGAGCGTTCATCGAGAACATTTACGGAAACGAACTGCGTTACAAAAGATTATCTTATATTTGTATTTTATTAAAATGTGAGTAAATTTAACTGCCTGACGAATATGTACTTGTTTAAATATACATAAAATAAACGCAATAGTAAATACACTTAAGGCCTAAGGAGATTTCAATACCTGTCTCAAGACGGATTTATGACTTTAAAAATAATACATAAACAGAAGTTGATATATGGACAAAAAAAAAAAACAAAACAAAACATTTAACAAATCACAGAAATCAAAAACAACTCGTGCTTACGAACTAAATCCTACGATCCTATATACACGCAAAAGTCTATTGTCAATGAATACGATCTAAAAGTGGGGCAGACACACTTTGCCCGCAAATAGTTCGGACACAACTGTTATCCACAGCGCCAGTACAAACATGATGTACGAAATGCCAATTTTAAATGTGTTGGGTAGCTGATACGCCTGCCCGCCAATCTCTTCGATGTGGAAACCCAACGGAAAGACAACGGCTGCCATGCAGAACAGAACCATTGCAGCAAAGCCCACCCAGCGGGCATATGGAATTACGTTGCGGTCCCAGGTGCTGGAGGCCAGAAGTATTATTGTCGTCGTGATGCATATGCAGCCGATGAAAATGCAAACGAGTGCGATCAGCCATTCCGGCTGCAGATCGGGCGTATAGCAGACCTGCGGCCGGTTGTACAACGTCATGCAAGTCCACATCAGGCCCAGCCGTATGTCTCCTGCAAAGCCCAGCAACAACAAATTGTTATTGTTTAGCGTTCGGGTGTGTTAGTATTGCAAGATGCGGTTACCAGCTTCCTCTGTAATAATCCAATCGGGCAGCGCTAGACTCACTATAGCGAACACATCGGCCGCCATGAATAGGGTGGCACTAATTGTTGTTAATTTGTCCATGTTTAATGCACTATTTTCACTTTTCAAGTTATAAGTTATTTCCTTATTGTTTCTACTCTTCAAGTTACAATGTGACCAGAGAACGCGAATATGAAAATACTTTGGGGTAAAGAGCTGCCAACTCCTTGCATTCTGCAGAATTGTCAGCTGATTAGAACTATCGATTAATCGATATGTAACAACTGGTGCAGCCTGTTTGAAATAATCACAAGCCATGGCCGTTAGACTTAAGCCATAAATTATGTTAATTAGAGAAGTGCAGTTACGAGTTTTAAATATATAAAGCTAGTTTGGTATTTTATAAAGTGGTACCTGATATATATGTTCACCTATATAACATTGGTTGTCAGATGATCAATTCAAGATAGCTTAATCAATAATATCACAGATCGCTTATCTTCAGAACGCGCGCTGGACACATTTGGCCACTCGAATATGAAAGAGCTATTAATGGAAGAGTAAACAAAGCTCATTTAAAATTAACATGTCTCACAGGTCCTTTGAGGGCATTTGAAAGCAATTACAATTACGCGTGAAGGAATTATATTCATACAAATACGGCGGGCGTTTTGCCGTAACCGAGCTACGCTGACGTGTCCTTAGCGCTAGACAAGCACTCTTTATGGAGCCCGTACTCTATTGCCGTAATACGAACTTAGCTGAGTAGCAATATCTGCACTTTCATATCTATAGGATGGTTCCAGCGCATATTTTTATTTTTTTTCTGTAAGCTTTCAATGCGCTATAATTGTCCGGTCCGTAGGTGGTGCTCCCGTAACCTAGCTAGTTCTCTGTTGCACTCATTCGGTTTTTGGTGGTGCTACACGACACTTGCCTTGTGTCGGCATCGGCTAACTCGAATTTCGTCGCGCCAGCGTCGCCGTCGAGAACCGAGACCGAAAGTCAAGCGACCTCCTGCCAAAAGGGGACGTTATGTTTATTATTTGTCTGCACTTCAGAGTTACGAGTCGTGATTGTAAATAAACAAAATTATGCTTAATCGCGCAGTTCTCTTGAATGGGAACTGACCGCTCTAAAAAATTAAAAAAACCAAAGAGTTATGTACGTATGTACATAAATATTAATTTGAGTCTCAGTTTACATTTTTGACTTGGCATCATCTTCAAGAAAAACGCTTCCATTTCAAGTAACTAGATTCTAGGGGCTTAAGCGAAATATTATTTATGTACTGACAAAACAGCAGAGTGAAGTTGAATACCAAAATTATCTCTACATTTTTAAACATAATTTATTAACTGGCTGTAGCCGACTGCGCAATACCCTGTTGACGGGTCAATGGCCGACACCAGCTTTAAAAGTTTCAGGGATTTAGATGTTTGCTTTCCTTAACGGGGACTTACTCTAATACGTATTCCATGCTTTAGGTATCTAGCTTGAAAAGCGGTGTAATAAATAAGGAACAGAGTATAAGCAAGATTTCAAAAAATTCCCTTATAACTTCCAGAAAATATGTTCCTAACATTTTTCCTGTGGTTTTCATGCAAAATCATGGAATCGTTCAGATAACATAATTTATAGTGTTTTTGTATTATATATTATAATATTCCACACTCAAATACTTAAATTAAGGAGCTTAATTGTTCTTATTAGGCTCTTGAACTGCTTGTTAAGGCTTTAGGAAATTTTGTTTCATATAATTTTTTTTTTGCATTTGAAGTTGGTTTCACATTTGTTGAGGAACTAGACCGCATTATCTACTATGATCTACTTCTGAAAACGCTGACGTGTGCGATTTAATGAATTTAAGTTCCAGTGCACTTTAAATTATAGTTCAAGTAAATTCCGAGGCACACAAAATCCTACTCAAATACACATTTGAATTATCTTAAGAAAACGTGCTGATTTAGCGTTTTTATTTTTAATATACTTTTAGCAGTGACGGTAGGACAGTTTTGAGGACCGCATTAGCTTGGCAAATCTAATGTCAACAAAATCGGATTTCGAAACCGGGGAGCCATTCAATTGAATTACACACACACACACACACACACACACACACACACACACACACACACACACACACACACACACACACACACACACCATTTAAAGTGAGATTGTTATAAACATCAATTGGCGCTATAAAAGACAAGCACATGGAGCCGAGTGATAGCAGTTTTCAGCCCGACATGGCCGCGGGCAATTCAAAATCCGAGTCTGAGTCTGAGTCCGACACGACTCATAAAATCGAGCTGACAGGCATTGGGTAAATACAAGTTCTGCAATCGCACACACAATTATCATTATCTATTTGGCAGCAATCGTAAAGATACGGATCCAATTAATAGAAGTAAGCACGAAGAAGGAGAGCCAAAGTCTGGACAAGCTAACAGGGCGGAAGAGAGTCGATTGAAAGAGCGCGAGGATAGGCCGCTCGTTCTGGAAGAAAGGCACTCACTTTCTATGTAAATACTCGGATACAAATAGGAGAACAATTGCAAACTTACAAATTCCTCTCTTTCCATTTGCGTTTCCTTTCTAGAGCGGAAACAAAGAAGCGTCGGGCCAGCGTCTACTCCAACGAGAATCTGTTTATACCCAAGGAGCTGGCGCGCGGTGAGCTGCATCTGCGTAGACACCACTCGGCCGTGAATTCTCTGGATCAAATCAGCCGAAACAGTGACTATTGCATACGAATGCTCAAGTTTCCCGTTGGATCGGGCCGTGCTCGCTTTGTTGCCCAGCAAATGAAAAGGCGAAAAACAAGAAAATCAAAGGCTTTGCCGAAGCTACTGCCAGAAGTGCTCAATCTGGACGAGAACCGGGCTGCCGAGCTAGTTGATCCGGCTAAGGACGAATTGTGCATCAAGCGGGAATCAAATGATGAGATTTTACCCCTGAACATGCCCAATCTGGATGCGGATAGAAGTCAACTTCACAGCGATGACGAGTGCTGCGTCATACTCGAGGATATTGTCAATTGTTCCCTGCCCGAGTCAGAGGAGGATGGAACGGAAGAGTTGATTCAGCGCGTGTCCAAGCGTCAATTGAAGCGAGCCGCGTGCTCGGAGTTGAAGTAAGCAAGGAATATTATTAACATGTGTGTATCTACAGGTAATTAGGATTAATTGCAGGTGCACAGAGGAAGATCAGATGCTGGCCGAACAACAGGAGCTGACACAATTGCCAGTCTTTCGTTGGCATAATCCGGACTACAGTGATCAGGATATTAAAATGGGTATAAGGGAGGACCTGGAGCGTATTAGCTTATCGGCCAGTGCGGACATTCAGGTGGCTTTCAGCGAGGTGGCAGCCACAGCAGACGCAGTCGGAGAGCCACATTTGCGACGGGTGGAAGAGGAGCTGGTGGCGCAGCAGGAAGAGCCAGTATCAAGCGGGCTGGTAGAACCCACGCCTGTGCTGGCAACGGATCAGCCATTGCTGCCACGGAGCTCTATGGGAGGAGAGGAACAGGTAGAAACTAACGAGCCCGTGGGAGTGGCTCGTTTATTTATATCAGAGCAACAATCACCGGAGTTTCAGGACGCACAACAACAACAGCATCCGGTTCAAAGTTTGCAGCATGTTGCAAATATGCCATGTATGTTGCCAACTGAAAGAGCGACAACATTAAGTTCATCATCAATTGAGGAACATCACACAGAGTTGCAACAACGGTTCATGCAACGCCTTATCCTGCCGCGCATTTACTCCGCCGATTTAAGCGCCAGCAACCATGCCATTAATTTGTTAAATGATAACATACAACAGCATTTTGTGGAGTCGCTTATGCCAAGCGAATTATTGCAGCAATGGTCAAAACAGCATTTCGAGAAGTACGCCTACTCACAGCAACAATTGCCGCACGTGTTGCGACAGCAACCAGCTCAGACCCTGCGCCAACAGCAACAGCAACAATCTTACCTTCAGGAGCAGCACTTGGAGGCGGGGCAGAAGGAACTGCATCAGCTGAATGCACAGTATCAGCAATTGAAGTGCCAGGAGGATGAGCAGCTCAAGAGTATAAACAAAACCCTGAAGGAGATTTATGCCAATCGGCTGCTTTGTGAGCGGCAACATGCTGAATATCACAGAAGTTTCATGCACAAAATGGTTGAGAGCAAAAAGCATGAAGAAAATCTACAGGCACACAAGAATCAGCTGAAAAGACAGCTGCAGGCGGAGCTAAGCAGCCTGGAAGAACGTATTTCGGAAAAACAACGCCAATTGCAGGATCGAACGAGAACATGGCAACATTGTCAACAGCTGCAGCAGCAGCAACAGTTGCAACAACAACAGCAGCAACTGCGATTACAGGAGCAGCAGCAAGATTTTGCATTCGGTCAACAGCTGCAGCAGCAACAACAACAGCAGCAACTGCGCCTGCAACAGCAGCAACAACAAGATTTCGCATTCGGTCAACAGCTGCAGCAGCAACATTTTCTTCGAGGATTTCCGGCACCCGTGTATCAGCCACGTTTGCAATGCTTTCAGGATGCTTTTTCCCCGTGCATTGAAACTCGTTTGCCGCCCACCTCACAGTTGGAGACGCAACGTAGACTTATGCCAGCGCCAGCGCCTCCGCCAGCAGCATATTGCGCGGACAACATGCAACCGCCAGTGGCAACAGGCAACAGCTGCGACAGCAGCAACAACTGCGGTGGTGGCATTATGCGACGTCGACATACCATCGATTACAGAGCTGGCAATATTCTCACGAATGCTCGATCATATCAGCAGCAGCCTCCGATGCAGTCCCACCTGGCTGCGCACACGGATGCCTTGCCATATCCACGAGGGGCAAACTTTTCCAGCTTTGCAACAGCCACAAGCAATATTCCAGCTGCCCAGCATTTTACACGGCCTGAAACGCCAATCTCTAATGCCAGGCACCAAGTGAATCAGGCAATCGAACAAACTGCGATAACCTCTTTTATAAGCAACTATGTCTCAAACTATTTCAATGATATGGAGGCAACGAATCCATGAATACGGACAATTAATTAGCTTGGCTCATTTATGTGATCTTGTAAATATAAGTGCTTTGAATGAGAAAACTAAGATTCTTTTACACTTGTTCCTACTACCTTTAACTATCATTATTATTATCATTATTATTATGTACAATACTTTGTTCTCAGGCTCAGCTATCCCATTGATCCTTCTATTTTAAGCATATCTATGTTAAGTTTTTAAATTTGAATAAAATGATGTCCCCTTGCTTTTCAATTTTTTAAACAATTTTTTAGTCTCATTTAATTGCCCAATTATTTGCTTTGATTAGTGAAGCCTAATGATAATCATTCTTTAAAATATGGGTTCGCATTAAATATTTTTGTATAGATCAATCTTTGCTTCAGTATTTAAAGCACTTTCTCTAGAATCTCTGACTATAGCCGCCGCCCTGTCGTGCTCCTGGATGCAATTGGCAGCACCAATGCGAGCAGCGAGGACAGAGCCTGTTATTGCTGTAGCCATGCTTCGTATTTCCATTACCATTTCCATTATCATTTCCATTTCCAATACCATTTCCATTACCATTACCATTTCCATTACTATATCCATTTCCAATACCATTTTCATTACCATTTCCATTACCATTTCCATTACTATATCCATTTCCAATACCATTTCCAATACCATTTCCAATACCATTTCCAATACGATTTCCAATACCATTTCCAATACCATTTCGATTCCCACTTCCATTCGCACTCCCATTCCCAGTTCTATTCGCACTCCCATTTCTAGTTCTATTTCCATTCACGTTTCCCAATCCGTTTTCATAGTCCGATAGCCTATGCGAACAAGAGTTTTCCGTCCGGCCAGCATCATTGCTTTTTGGGGGCCCTTTCTTATATGGTTGGTATTTGGGCAGAGCTGCTGTCATTGGATATGGAGGATATGGTGGACATGGTGGATATGGCGGACTTTGTGAGGCTCTTGGTGACGAAAATTCTGAAGAATTTAATGAATTTCTTGGTGCAGTTCTACCTTGCGTGTCGGGCATTGGTCCCATTGGCAAGTCTTCGGCATAGCCTGATGCTTGTATAGGCGCCAAGAGCTGAAGCACAAACGTAGGCTGCGTTGGATCTGGACATGCATTATCACGCTGCAGTTCGACCAGCCGGCATGGCAAATCAAAGCGCATCAAGGGCTGGACTTGCATATCTGGAGTCGCGGTACATATATTTGGCTGTTGCTGCTGCTGCTGTTGCTGCTGCTGCTGTTGCTGCTGCCATTGCATGCTCTGGAACTGACAGTAGGGTTCGCACGGCTGCTGATTTTGATATGGTGGAGCCATTGGTGTTACCGAGCCATAGCCAGCATTTATTTGCGGGGCCTTGGCCGAACCTGACGGGGCTGTTGTTGGGTAGCTGTGAGGCGGCAGCACCGCATATTGCTGCTGCGATGCCCGCTTCTGTGCTCGATCCTCTTTGGGACATTTGGCCGGTTTTGACGCGGTGGGTGGCGCTGAATTATAGGCGGCATCCGGACATATGCAAGTTTGTTTGGACGCTGGCTTAAGCGCTGGCCTAAGCGCCGGATACTGCTGTGGCATAAACTCATTTTGACAATTTTGCCTTGGCGCTGGCCTAGCCACTGAGTACTGCTGTGGCGACTGCTGCTGGGACATGTGACTGTTGTTGTTGTTGTCGTGCGACGTGAAAAATTGTACCAAATTCTGATAGGCATTATAATTAAAACTATTGGGAATCGGCACACTGCAGTCGAAGCTTTGAATAAAAGATAGAAATTTCGTTAAAAATGCACTGAGCAAGGTTTGTCGATCTGTACCTAAAGCCCTCGGGACCCTCGGTCACAATGCAAACTCCCAGCTGTTGTGAATCGGCCTCGCAACCGTTGTCGAACTCTGTCGTTGGCATCGGAGCATAGCGCAAGTTGTAGTTGATTTGTTGTTGCTGTTGTTCTTGCTGCTGTTGTTGTTGCTGTATCTGTGGCTGTTGTTGCTGCTGCCTCATTTGCATAGGTTGCTGCTGCCTGACTTGCGATAGCTTGTGCTGCACAGCTTGCGACTTCCTTGGGCTCAAAACGCGGCCAGACGAAGTCGCATGGATGCAGTGGTCGCAGCTCTCCGTGCAAAACATTTTGCAAATGTTTCAACACAAATGCGCAAACTTTGCCCCACTTTGGTTGCTCGACCTGGCCTGCGAGGCAGCAAGGATTGACAGCTACTATGAAATATTTACGTAATTTTGCTCATTGTAAGTCCAGTAATGCTATCGATAATACGAAATGTTGTTTTATTGCCCGAGCACTTCGTTCCGGCCTATTTCGTTGTGAAATTTGTACAAGCCATGTTTAAGTAGGCAGGCATTTTATTTGGCCCGATGCCATAACTAAATTCAGATGTAAGCCTAAAACAACACAAAATAAAATAAAACTTTTCGGATCACAAAAACTTAAAAAAAAAAATATGTCCGCCGTTGAGGAAAAGCCTGTGCCCAAGGATTGCGCTATTGCGTGTAGCGTAAAAAAATCCGGCCAGAGCAACGGAAGGCGCAGCTTTATAGTCACGGTGGACGACAATGGCAAGGTCGAGGTCAGCCCCAGTGTCCAGTGCGAGCCGGAAGGCAGTCAGCTGCCAGTCAAGGAGCAGTCCAGCCCAAAGATTCGTAATGCAAACCGAAAGTCATCGCGCGGCGGCAAGCAGCGCCTACGGCTAGCGGTGCTCGAGGAGAACGCCGGCAGCTCGGACAGCGAGCTGGCCAACGGTGAGGAGAAGAACAGCAACGATATGATCAGCATTGATGCGCAATCGCTGGAGACAATGCACGATCGATTCGTGAAAATCTACAACAAGAAACTGCGCGGCAAGCCCAGCTTTGTGGTGCTCGAGGATGCGCTGGTGCGCAAGCGTATGGAGCAGACGCTGCAGGGCCGCGCCGTCTGTCACAATCATGCCGAGCAGCAGACATCCCCCTGCGACATAGGCGCCAATACGGGCTCCCAGACCGACGAGTTTCTGCTGCAGTGCGCGATGCGGTCGAGCATGCTCAAGGGACACAGCCGTGGCTGCCAGGCGACAGATGTCACTGCCAAAACGCCGGAATGTGGTGCCTGCGCGGCCAGGCGCAGCAGCATGAGTGCGCCGCCGCTGCGCCGGCTTAGCCAAATGTGTGCTCTGCAACTGGAGAAGTTGATGCAAGCAGAAACCGCGGCTGCCAAGACTGCAGCCACAGCTTGTGCCAAGCCCGACACATCGCCACATGTGACCATCAGTTTTGTGCCCGTTGCAACACAGACGGCCACCAACACGGTTAATGCACAGCCACAACAGCAACCATTGCTGGCAACAACAGCTTTGCCGCACAGCAACTGCGCGAATTGTTGCGCACACCAGAACAACAACAGTTGCTGTCAGCCAATGCCAAAGGCAACTCACTGCCAATACTGCCAGCAAGCTGCTGATAGCAACAATTACAGCTGCTGCTTGAGGCAGCAACAGCAACAACTACTGCTGCAACAGCAGCAACAGCAGCAACAGATGCAGCAGATGCAACAGCAGCAGCAGCAGCATCTTTTTGCACACGCACAGCAGCAACATCCAGTTGCAGGACCAACTTATAGTCATTGCTGCAGCAGTTGCTGCTTGTTGAGGCCGACGATGGCACAAACAGCGCTCGGATTTGGCCAAGCACCGGCTATGCCGAACCATTGCAGTCATTCATTGCTGCTGCCGCCGCCGCAGCAGCACGAGTATCCCCTAAGAGGCTGGGCACCACAGCCCATCAATCCTTGCCTCTGTTATCCCATGCCCGCGGTCAGCATGTCAACCTACGACATACCACACTGCGCCAGCTGCCACATGCAACGCCATTCCTGCGCTGCATGCTACGATTACCAGCAGCAACAGGTGCACCATCTGCAGAAGCAGCAACAACAGTTTGTCTGCCTGGGCGGCAGCAACCATTTGGATGACCCGCGCTCGTCGTCTAGTACGCCCGATCACAGTTCGACGTCCGAGATGCATGTGAGTCGCAGGCGTTCTAGGAAGCACCGGGCCAAGGAGGCGACTGTGCTCAGCGAGCACAGTGACTCTGAGCTGCATACCAGCGCTTCCCAGCTAACTGTCAGACGGGTAAATACACTCGGCTCCAGTGAGAAGACCGGCAAGAAGGTGCAGCTGTCGCGGAACAAGGCGGGTGCAGCCATTGCAGCCACAAAGGTCTACATGGCACGCTTTGGACGCACCTGCCTGGTGCTGAAGCCGACCTCGTCCGCAATGCCAACACGCCTGCTGACCAAGCGCATCAGCCGCTACACCTCCGTTATGGCCTGGCCCCACAAGGTGGCCAGAAAGTAAATTATACAAATTACATTTGCCAAACCAATAAACCCAAGTAGATCCGAAACTATGAAATTATAAATTGGGCATTTGGGCAGATTTATTACAGAACTCTCCTCAACTGATGATCGGGCCCGATCAGGTGCTGTGGCTGCTGCTGCTGTTGTTGCCCCTCTTGTTGTCTGGTGCACAGACAGTCTAAAACGCAGCCTTGCACATTGGAACTGATGCAATCGCCTGGCATACGCAGTATGCCATACTTGGCCAGAATTCGCTGATAGACGACATCATTTGGCAAAGCTCGGGCTTTTCTCCGATATTGATAGCGGCTGCTACCGGGGTAAAATTGCGATGGTGCCCGGCTGTTTTGTTGTGGCATCATCATTATTGCTGCATTTATGTCTAAATTATTCAAATACTGAGGCCCAACATTAACTGGTCCCCTTGGCCAGTTATTGACATATTGGGGCTCAACATCTGCCTGCACAAAGTCCTGATATGGCTGTTGCTGCAGCTGATGTTGCAACTGTTGCTGCAGCTGATGTTGCAACTGTTGCTGCAACTGTGGCTGCAAATGTATGTCCATCTGCTGCTGCTGCTGTAGTTCTTCGTATTGTTGTGTTGAGTGCAAGTCCTGCAGGAATATTGCACGGCCATTGGCTTGATTAAAGCTCTGTTGGTTCGGCAGTGGCTGAATCTGTTGCGGTGGATATTGTCCCAATTCGTTGGGATATAGTTGCTGTCGATCCCATAGGAATTGCTGCTGTTGCTGCTGCTCGACCGACCGATTTGAATAATTGAAGGACGTTGACTTTGCCGAAGGTTGCCCGTCATAGCTTCGGCTCAAATCATATAACATTTGACCCCTATTTTCAGGAACAACCTCTCTATGCCTGTATGGAGTCACAGTTTCATTCCGCGCTGCGCTTAAGCTGGAGCTGCGCAATGGGCGCACGTCCATAAGTACGATGACTTCTTTATGCTCTACCTCGGGCACATTCCTATTGTTGTATTCTGTGTACATGAGACACTTCGATGGGCACTTTTTTCTTGTGCAATTGCATGCATTCGAACTGATGGAGCTTTCCATTTCCGAGGACTCGACTGCGGGACGTAATCGATATGATAGCCTTGCATCATTGCTGGAACTGTTTGGATTAAATTCTAGCATTGGCGGCGCTTCGGAACTATCTTCAGGATGAATGTAATTTACTGCTACCGGACGATATTTCTGTGATCTACTTGATTGGCTTTCATTAGTGCGCGAATTGCCCATTATTGGAGTTATATAGCGATTGAAAATATTAATACTGCTTGTCTTTCGGGCAGGCTGCATTTGTACTAAGACTTCAGATTCCACATCACTAGTTTGTGCATGGCCCTCATCTTTGCGAAAATAATCACTTTCGGAAGCTTCAAAACGGTTATAAATGTTTCGAGCCGATTTCAGCTCTACCAAAACTTCAGGTTCCACCACCCTGTTCTGTGCTTTGTCTTCGTCTGTGCGATAATTATCTCTTTCAGAAGCTTCAGAACTATTCGAGTTACTTCCTGCCTGTCGGGCAGCTTTCAGCTCTGACGAAGCTTCAGGTTCCACCTCCCTACTGTGTGCTTGGTCTTCCTCTGTGCGAGAGCCTCTTTCGGAAGCTTTAGAGCGATTGGAATTACTTCTTGTCCGTTGGGCAGTTTTCAGCTCTGCCGACACGTTAGGTTCCTCTTCATTATTTTGTGCTTGGCCTTCGTCTGTGCGAGAACCTCTTTCAGAAGCTTTAGAACGATTCGAGTGACTTCTTGTCTGTTGGGCATCTTTCAGCTCTACCGAAACATCAGGTTCTACTTTCTTATTTTGTGCTTGGCCTTCGTCTGTGCGGTTGGAAGTACTTCTTGCTTCTGGGAATGCTTTGATATCGCCTTTGGGGGGATGGGAGGCAACCTTTTTTTCAGATTGTGCTCGATTATTCTGTGATCTATGAACTTTTCTGTCAGTGGGAGGATGTCCTCTAATGGCGGTCCTATAACATTTCAAAACATCTCTTGTCTTAGAATGACACCTACAACAAATACACTTTACTACATGTTCCCTGCGATTATTCTGTGATCGGCAGGCTTGTTTTGCAACTGGGCGGGAATCTCCTCTTTTAGTAGATTCGTTATATTCACGATGTTTGTTCTGGGATCTATTAGCTTGTCTCTCATTAGTGCGAGAGGAGCCTCTCTTATGAGACGACGAACGGGTTGTAGTACCAGTTGACTTGTGGGACTTCTCAGGAACATGAGTGTCTCGCACTTCTATTTTGGGATGTGTAACGCGACTTGACCTTGTAGATTTCTTATTTCGTTCTCTATGCGGTTCAGTTTTCGGTGATTGAGAACGGTTTGAAAACTCTCTTGGGAATGCTTTGGGCTCGGCTCTTTGGCGATGGAACTTTGCTCCCGCGACTAAATTCTTCTTTTTTGAGCGCTTAGGAAAATCAACTGACGCCTCAGCTGGCTTGGAAAGCCCTGTGCGTTGTCGACAACAGCTGCATACCGATCTGTTGCAGACCAATCGCTTGCCCGGAATAACTGGCCAGGAGACTTCGAGCTCTCGCCTGTTATTTTGGGATTTTTAGCTATTTCTTACATTTAGTTATTAATTAATGAATTGCTCTCTTACCATTCATCTGGTTGGCATATGGTGATCATTGTTCCAAAGCGACTGCCCTTCTGCCGAAAAGGCACCAGGACAACCGGCAACTTGGGCTTGCCCCTACTGCTGCAAATAAAAAGAAAATCAGAACTATTTTGTAACTTCAAATCGAAAAACTTAAGACTTCAACTATTTCTTTGATAAAATCTCTAGCACCATGTTTGAATATCTAGTCTAGCTAAAAGCTGATTAATTTCGAATAAAATTATAGGCTCACATAAAAGTATTTTTTTAGATAGTTATATGTTAGTTGATTGGAACGTTTGTATGCTTTATAGTAGGTACTTACTTAATGGGCACACGATGACAATATTTCTTCAGTTCTTCCATTATATTGGCAATATTTGCTTCATTTAGAGGCTGCAGCTTCAAATTCCCATTGCAATCGTATTCGCCGTAATCTCTGCCTCCCTTTTGAAAGGAATATTTCTTGGAAACGCGTGTATATGCCGTCACCTTATATTCCTCCAAGGTTGGCAGAAATTTATTGTCGCCCTGCTTCAAGAGACACAATTTGAGATTCTTTCGACGCAACTTGTCACTTATAGGTCCGCAAGCGTACGTCCTTTTCGGTGAGTCCGTATTTGATTCTTTCTTGCTCAGATATTTTGCGCAAGTTGATTTAGTGCATTGGCTTACTTCTACTTGATCGCATGTGGAATCTTGAGCATTATTTATTGATCTATTCAAGCTCTTCTCACTGGCTAGCTCTTGTATTTGGGGCAATGAGCACTTCCTTATTTGAACGGAGTATGTGCTCATGTCCGAGGCAATAACGGGTGGAATTGTCTTCGATACATTCGTAGCACTGGAACGACTTTTCTTTGCCTCCATAATAAGTTCCAAAATGCTTTGCGTAATTGATAGCCTGGACCTATAGTTCGTTATATTACTGTGGGCCAACTCAGCTAATGGCTGCCTCGACTCTTCGGATAATTTGTTAGCCGACGCATAGGGCTGCATGGAATTCTTGGACTTTTCGTGTGTTAAAGGTTGAGGACATATTTCTCTATCAGTCTTTGAACATTTTATGCTAATTTCATCGGTTGCATTGGATTTTTTTGCATCGACTCTGTCGTTTTGCATATTGGAGTCACATTGATTTATATTACAAACATTTTGCGGCATTGGAGCTTGGCTCTGTTTATCATCTAAAGCTGGCACTTGTATGGAAGCCAACAGATCTTGAAGAACATGTGTCTCCATGTATAAGCTTTGAGACTCCGTATCTTTCGATAGTTTTTCGCACTGCATTGACGAGGAATTGATACTTTTAAGCTCAGCTAGTGGACGATTGAAATTGCTGCGTTTTTGATGCACACAGCTTGGAGCCACATCTTCCTGCATATACGATCGAACATAGGTTGACTTATCCGAATAGGTTTTCGGAGGCTGGCTATATAGTGAAGCGGCAATAGTCTGATCTGAGATCGAATCTTGGTAAGCTCTGCGACAAGATTTGCAGTCACACACAAATTTGCTCTGTGCCGATTCCAAATCCATACCATCGAAAGTTGAATAATCATACATCGAATTCTGCATACGCTGCTCGTTGGTGTCCATAGTTTCCAGGCTGTTGTTGCAACAACCCTGAACAGAAGGTAGAAAGTTCCTAAATGGCGGTAAACCATGGGCCATGGCACTGCCCACACATTTGCTTCTCATATTTGCAAGTGCATTTGCCTTGCTTTCCGCCTTCAGATCTTGAAAGTCCCTATAATTGTAGGTATTTTGTTTATGTTCCAGCAATTGTGATGATATCTGCGACACATTGCTGAAACTAGGGAATCGGCTGCTTTCCAAATAACTTTCACTGATGGGCGCATCATCAAAGTAGAAGGTATCGTGTTCGACTGATCTGTGTGCATTGGTATTCCAAGAGAGCGTCTTAGATGTTGTCGGTTTGGTAATCTGGCGCTGCAGCGACATGTCCGATTCGGGTGGAGTTCTATACCGTATTGTATATTTGCTGCACGGCGATAAATGGGTACTGGCTGTGTTTTTAAATTGCGAACGTTTTCGAGATAATTTCCGTCTGTTAAATGCATCTTTTATGTTATTCTCCCTACTGGATGGCAATACATCGATATTGCAGCCTGTTCTGCCGGATGCCAGTGTTAAACCCGAGTTAGGTGGAGCTCTGTTTCCAGACAAGTTATTGCTACACATCGAATATTGACTAATGTGATGACCACAGCTACTCTGTGAAAAGGAATTATTTGGCGTGGTTTGTTTTTGAGCACACATTTTGCATATATTGGGCTGTGTTGGGATTGTCTTCCGTTTGACCACTTTTCTTTTTTTGGCAATCTTTTCGAGAGCCCGTGGCTGTGCGGGCTCTGCAGGAGACTGCGCCTGAACCACCTGGCTCTGTGTAGTTTTCAAATCAAGGCACTGTGGCACGGGCTCTGCAGCAGACGGCACCGCAACGGGCACACGTGCCAGCATGGGCGAGCAACAGCCCATGGGACGCATTGAAATGCACAACTTACAAGGAGGCTCAGCTAGTGATGGAGGTGTCCTTGCTACGGCTAGGTTGTGGCATTCCTTAACCAAGGCATTGTTTTGGGGATCGGGCAGTGCTTCAGTTCTGTTATCCATTATGGGAAAGCTTTTATTCATGGTATTCATTGAAGCATTTGAAAATAGATCCCAAATGTTTCCAAAACATATTGTTCCGGGTATATTAACGCGTACGGGCACATTGAGGTCAAACCTGTTAGAGGATGTGAAAGAATTCATAAAAAACAAAATCACAACTGAAAATGCAAAGCTCTGATGCTTACCACAGTTCATTGCTGTGGCTTTGCTCGAGCTTCGGCTCGAGTTTCGGCTCGAGCTGCGGTTCGAGCTGCGGCTCAGGAACAGCTGGGGATTGGGCCTCAGGAGTTGGAGTTTTTTGCTTCCCCAGTTTCTTCAATTTCCTTTTTGGTTTGGTCTTCTCCAACACCTTCTCACTCTTGATAGGTTCCGTTTTTGGTGTGACTTTGGTTGGCCTTTGTTTATTTTCTTTTTGTTCTAGCGGTGCAATTAGTTTTTTCAGATAATTATAGTCCATGGCACAGGATGGAGGGCATTTTGGGGCTGTTGTCAAAGCTTTCGCCATTGCTCCAATCTTCTTTTTTACGGTTGCAGCAGCTTTCATCAATTTCGATTTCCGACTATGCTCAAGCCTTGGACTAAGCTCGTTGGGTGATGATGGACTTAGCCTAGCCGGAGACCGCATGTTGAGATCATCTCGCTTTTTTTGATCAACCATTTGAAGTTTTGCTCCATTCTTAGATGACGCAGTAGACCTCGAAAGCCTTGGACTAAGCTCGGCGGGTGATGATGGACTTTGCCTTACCGGAGACCCCAATCTGAGATCATCCTGTTGCTTGCGGTTTGTTTGATCAGCCATTTGCAGTTTTGCCCCATTCTTAGATGACGCAGAAGACATTGTTAGCCTGGCACTTAACACGGTGGGTGATGGAGACCCCATTTTGAAATCATCTTGCTGCTTGCGGCTTGTTTGATCAGCCCCATTCTTAGATGACGCAGTAGACCTTAAGCTTCGTTCAGAGCGAGCCTGATTTGCCTCTCGCGGACAATTGGACGTAGCAGAGACTCTTGGTTTAGTTAAACATTTAGAGCCATCTCTCGAAGTATCCTCCGTTCTGCTAAATGTTCGACTTAATTTGCACGATGCTGAGGTTTTACCAGAGCAATCCTGAGCCAGCTCGCCGCGCAATTTAGATGACGCAGAGGCTCTACTTTTAGTTGACCCTGCAATGGATCTAGTTGGCGTTAAAAATTTGTCGCCTTCCCTCGAAACGGCCTCCGTTTGGCTACTTCTTCGATATTCCCCTTGAGACTTGGATGACACAGAGATTCTTTTTTCAGGTGCACCATCCATCATTGAGAAACTCATCTTAGAGCTGTACGCATGTGACTTAGCAGATCCTGAAGCGCGAATAGCGCTACTCTCAGGCACCTCCTGCGGTCGACTAGACATTTCAGAGGCTTTCGATTTAATTGATGCTGTGGTTGATCCCATTGGCGATATTAACCGAGACGAAGTCTCTGCTGTTTTGCTGTCTCCTTGATATTCCTTTGGCGACTTGGAAGACACCGAGCCTCTTGTTGAACCATTCATCGATTCCCTTGGTACTGTCATCTTTGAGCTTTTCGTAGATGATTTATTAGACACTGACGCGTGACCAGAGCTAACCGGAGCAGGCACTGGGGCCGATTTAGATGACATAGAGACTTTAGATTTAATTGATTCGTCAACAGAGCAAACTGGCGTCAATAGCCCAGAGCCATTGAACGATGTAGTCTCCTCTCCATTCGATGCAACCGTAAGACATCTCAGCGGGCATTCGTTTCGTCTACAAACGTCCGAATATTCTATCCGAGACGTGACACTTGACGTGGCATCATCCTTTTCATATTTTTGCAGGGTCGTAATGTTATGTATAACTTTGATGGAGTCCTGACTCATATCGCGGTGACAATTTTGGCATACACAGCCATTGCTCGCATCTGTTACCAATTGATGGCGGCAACAGTTTTGACAGCATCTATGTGAACAGCAACACATTGCATTAAAATTATACATTTTTTATTAAAAATGTCAATCAATCGGTTTGAGAATTGCTTCTATTTTTTAATAAAAAATCTGTAATTTAAACGGAATATGTCGTCAATCTCATTCGGGAAGCAAAAAGTTTACAATTCGAGGGAAAAACTTAAAATTTTGCGCCGAATACTGTGAAATGACTTTTACGATTGACAACAAATTCATCTCATAAACAAATTTCAAACAATTTCTAGATCGCTGAATATAGCAGCCCTACTCCACGGATTAGTCTCGGGAACAAGAACCAATATATATATATATATTAAAGTAATATTTTCTGAAAGCTTATCATATTAATGTTTTGACAATTTTGATAATACATATATATATAATAATAATAATGCAACTATTATAACTTGAAACGGAAGCATTGACCAAATTGGATTTAGCTCAACTCTGGTTAAAACTCTCCATAGATAAACCGAGTTTGTAATGTACCGTACATTATACATAAGGTCGCTGTTGTGCACTCCTTGTTTCACTGTACATGGCACGTTACCTTACGAACTCCTTTGGGTAAAGCCAAGAAATACTGTGCGGAGGCTACTCTAGTGGCCCTGCCAGCAGCGCGGCATCATGAAGCGCATCTGGGCATAGCGCTGCCGGCAACAGGGCTGTCGATAACAACTCCCCGGAAACTGTACTGAATGCATGATATTTTGCTGTTGCTGCTGTTGCTGCTGCTGCTGCTGCTGCTGCTGTTGCTGCTGCTGTTGCTGCTGCTGCTGTTGCTGCTGTTGCTGCTGTTGCTGCTGCTGTTGCTGTTGCTGCTGCTGCTGGGGATGATATTGTTGCAGTGGTAACTGCATTGAAAACTGTTGCTGTTGCTGATGCTGTTGTTGCTGAAAGCAGCATTGGTTCTGTGCATCGTGCATGGCATAAAATCCTAGGCTCATAAGTGGTGCTGGCGCTTTCGGAGACACCATCAACGGGCTCTGTTCGGTTGTCCCATTCGTATTTGTCACGGAGGCTAGGGCCTCTTCTCTCACCGGAAACTGTACCGAACGTCTTTGCTGTGTCTCTGCGACATCCACTGCCGTTGGAACATCGTTCAATGTGTCCACATCCGAGCACGGCGTCTCCCGATCGCCTGTGAACTCCTGCGGTGAATCATTGCTCATCTCACAGCTTGTTGGATTATGGACCAGAGCCGGCGTATGCTGCATTTTGGACGAGCCACAGACAGTGCTTAATTGCATTTGAACCTGGGCGATTTGGACCTGCGCCTGCTGCATCTGGCTTTGCAGCTGCTGGGCCAGCAGCTCGGTTAGGCCGCTTTGGCAGGCCTGTGTCGATATCCGGACAGGCACTTGCATTGGCTGATGATGACTGCACATGCTGTAGCAGGAGTTGGGGTGCATCTGCTGGCCCGGATAACCATGCTTTTGCTGTTGCCGGCAGGACGGCCTGTTCCAGGCAATGCCACGATTGTTATAGGAACAACTATTCCGATTCATTCGGTTTGCTTGCTGCTGCGACTGCTGATAAGCGCAGGGTTTGCCAGGGCACTTTGAATTCGGCTGTTTCTGCTCCATGCAAGCTGTTTTTCCCAGTTGACCCGGCGAGATGAATGATGGCAGGAAATATTGTGGTGCGGCATTCCAAAAGTTGCTTTGATGCGATGGCAAATCCAAATCATTTTCGACCGCCGAGTTCAGCTCATCACAGTCATAGCTTAAGGGCAGTAAAATACTGTCAGGAACATTTATCTGGGAGTCGGATTCAAATAAAACGTACCTTATAAAGTGCGCCTCCGTTACTTCACAAGCCTCAACCAGGTCCTCATAGTCACCATCTCGGCTCGGACTCACCATCTCATTAGCATTGTGTTCGGAGCGACGACGCGATGGATATTCGCCGCGAAAGGATGGGCAACCGCATTTCGATGACTTGTCATCCAAATCGTTACTCTTTGTCGCTTTATTTTCAGCTGTTTCCTCCTTTGTGGCGCTCTTTCTCTCCTCAACAGCGGCTGCTCCGACATCGTTTTCCACCACAGGATCGCTTACAGCTGGCGCCTGCTGCTGTTCAACGTTCGCCGGTTCAGTTTTTTTTGTGCCAGCTGGTAATTTTGACTTGGCAGTGGGCTTTTTCTTTCGACCATGTGAAGTCTTTGAAGGCGAATTGCTCTTTGGATTTGGCTCCACCATAATGAGTGGCAACATATTGGCTTGCAGAATATCCTTGGATTCTTTGCTTTTCAATGTCCGCGTACTCACAGTATCATGTCTCTGCTTGTCCTCGTTGTCCTCGTTGTCCTCATCGGAATTGGCGGCAAAGTCATGACTGTTCCGAGCCTCCATCATTGTTGTTACCAACGTACTCTTACTATACCAAGGATCCTTCAGGTTATGAAGCGGTATCTGCATATCAACCACGTGAGGCGAAACCGAGCGGTTGGTCGTTCGGGTTCTAGTCGGCGACGCCAAAAATATATTTCTCGTTGAGTTACGTGAACGACGCCGTTTAATAGAGTTATTTCTGCTCTCCAAACTCCTGCCTCTATTTTGCGTGGGCACACTTAAGTTCTGTGACGGCAGCAATCTGTTTCCCTGTCCAGTAAAGCCCCTTACGGGTGCCCGGCTGTTGCTCGCCGCCTGAGCAAACCTGGAGCCCATCGGATTGGACATACGCAATTTCTGTGCATAGTCTGCGGCCGCAGTGTACCACATCGGGCTGCTACTCCTTGCTCCACTGGGGCTAACATTTTTGCGCATTTTGCTGGGCGCACGCAACCAAATTTAACAATACTTCCGTTCAAATTTATCTGTCAACATGTTCCAAAACTTCAATATACAGCTTTGATTTGTCGAAAACAACAAATGATTAGCATATTGTTAAATGTCAAATGCAGAATAGTTGGTGGCTATTAAAAGCATCTTCTCCTATCGAGAGCTTCAGCCACGGCTGACGCGAGGAGCAGTTGTACAGATGCGCGTGAATCTCCCTACCAAATAGAGATATGCTTCAAAGGCCCTGTTTGAGAATAATTATTCATCGATATTTAGAAAACTTGGAGTGCTGTCAGCAAGAGAAATACTAATTTACGAAAATAAACAATAATTAAAATATTAAGATAGGGACGGAGGAACAACTGGCGATGGCGATATCGGTTCCCATTAAAAATGGGTATAAGGGTATATTGTATTTGTGCGAAAGCCAAATGTATGTAACAGGCAGAAGGAAGCATCTCCGACCCCATAAAGTATAGATATTCTTGATCAGCATCGATAGCCGAGTCGATCTAGCCATGTCCGTCTGTCTGTCTGTCTGTCTGTCTGTCCGTCCGTCCATCCGTCCGTCCGTCCGTATGTATGAACGCAAGGATCACAGAACCTATAAGAGCTAGAGACTTGAAATTTTAGATGTAGGTGCTCCTAGCTCCCGCGCAGAGCGAGTTTGTTTCCGATAATCGATAACTTACTCCGTTTCCAAGCAATTCTAAAATAGAATATATATATATATATGCATTTAATGTTGGAAGAAGAGGGTTCAGGGTATCCCCTAGTCGGGAGCTCCCGACTAGAACCTCTTTCTTGTTTCTACATAAAAATGCATAATCCTATTTTATAGAAGAGCATAAAATACTTTCAAAGTTGTAAGGAATAAACTTCTATACAAACAGATGGCACACATTGATGCTCGAATATTTTCTAGTCGTATTTCATTTATGTACAGATCAGATCATAATGATTACTAATCACTGATCAACTGAGTCGCTGATCACACGAATGACAACGCATTTTCGGCATTACGTTTGTTCAGCTTATTACGAGTTCATATAAAATCTATAGCATTATGGAACTGAACCTTGATCTAAACATCAAATAATTATTGTTATCTTAAATTATATGTGTATATTTTAACGATGAATTTTTAAGTGGACAAAACTCTTTTAAAATGTGTGCCTGTGGTGCGGAGAAGTGAGTCCTCTTACTTTGTTTTCTGCTACCATCAATTTGTAATATTCATTATTTTTTTAAGCTTTTCAAGCTTTTATCCTGGTTGCAATGCTGGGTAAGTGAATTTTGTTGCAATAGTTATTAAAGCCAAATGCCCAACTTTGGACTTTTAGCCCCCCAAAGACTTGTGATTGTGGGCGTGCGGGATCGGCGGGTGTACAAGAGACAAAATTCTCAAATATGGTACCGCCAAGTTTTCTGTGCAATCGAATTGCTAACACAACAAAAACAAAGGAAAAGCCAAAATCCTGCAGTTGTCCGACTAAAAAAGACAAGGTGGCCAAGAAGTGTAAATGTGTAGACAAAGGTGTCGATACGTGTGATCTGGAGAACGAAGTGTGTAAAAATGCTTGCGAAATGAGTAATGCAGACTATACAAATATGATTGCTGCACATGGAACTGCAGGAGTTAATCCTGCACCACCTGCCGTACCACCTATTGGTATAGGAAACGATGTACCTGGCACTGCTTTTATGGAAGCGATAGATCCTTTAAGCAATGTTCTTGACATGAATCTGGAACAGCCACAACGGGTTGAAGCTATGCCAGCAGCTGGCTTACCCAGCAGGACATGTCCCCAGTTTGATCCTTGTACAGGCCTGGAACGTCAATGTTCGGCCAAGCCAGCACCGCAAGCAGCATATATGCCTTATATGGGTCCAATAATTCCACTGCCCAGCCTGAGTCCCTATTTCTATCCAAATTTTCAATGTTGTCAAAAACCCACCCAAGGTCCATGTTGCTGTGCGCCAAGTGCTCCATTGCCGAAATGTGCGTGTGATGCAGGCGCCTCCACAACGGAAACTGCCATCACCAAGGACAAAGTGGAAAAGGCCAACAACAACAAAGGGAACAAGAACAAGGTTAGGCAGCCCAATGGTAAGAGTAAGGAGAAAAGTAACAAAGAACTTCAGATTGTCAATTGCTGCAATGCGAGCTCGGATCTCGTAGAGCGGTGAGTTCAATGTCAGGTCAAATCTGATAGCTTTCAATAGACTACATCATACATGCTGGAACTAAAAAAAAACATAGTGAAATAGCCCCTCTCTGAGGTCACATTGCTCATGTAGACATTCTATTTGGCAGCATTTGCACGTCCCTGCAAGTTCCGCGTCCACCGGAAAGTTGCTATCTCTTGCTGCCGATTAAAATGGCCACTGATGGCAATGAAGAATCTATGCAACCCGATGGCAGGCAACAAAATGCGAAAATTGATTCACCAAGAAGGAGCAAAGATGGTGATAATGGATCACAACCAGCTAAAAAATGCAACAAGCCGACGCGCAACTGTGGCTGTAACACGGTCATCAGCGGAAAGTAAGTCTCCAGCTGTGCTTTGTGTATCTCATACCCATCGTCAATTTAATCCACAGCCTTCAGGACAACGATGAGGATCCACAACAGGAAGAGGACGAGGAATACAATAATCCGTTTGGCAACTGTTGCAATTCTTGCTGCAGTCCTGCTCGCTGTTGCTGGCCATGCTGTTATTATAATCCCTGCACGGGTTGTTATTATTGGCGCAATAACTGTTGCTGTCGCAAAGGCTGCTGTAATAATTCCTGCAGCTCTTGCCCCCAGCCCTGTCCCCAGCCCTGTCCCCAATCCTCTCCCCAGCGCTGTGGCCAATGCTGTTCCCAATCCTGCCCCTTACCAAAGGGTCAATCGCAGAGCTCCAGCCCAAAGGAAGAAACTCCCAATAAAGGTTCACCAAACTCCTCGAAAAGGTCTAGTGCTGACCGTGTCGTGGCCGGAGCTATAACGACATTCAAGCCTGAGATCCAAGAGCTCTACGAGCGTTGGTTGGGATTTAATCAGTACGCAGTCGATAGTCTCCACAGAAGACCACCAACTCCGATTCATTCCGGTCCAATTTACTATCGGGCGCCGCAGTTTACGTATCGTACGTCGCAGTGTAATATCAGATCATTTAGATCACCGCCGCCGCCGCAGGTGACGCCGCGACGATCCGAGGAGGACATTGATTGGGCGCCACTTTAGTGTTTTAAAACATGACCACATTTATCGAAAAAATTGAAAGTGAAAGTTGATATAGTCGATCACGAAACTTGAATCATTATCACGAGCTAAAAAACTATCGATAGTTTCGATATCTTAGATTACCATTATCGATACTACCGATAGTAGTAATAACTCGGTGTTATGACAAAATTGTTGTATTATGACAATAAAAAGTGTGCAAAATGGAGTTTTCTAATTAGTTAATTTTTAGATGATTTACCGAGAGCTTTACTATCGATAGTTTCGATATTTTAGATTACCATTATCGATACTACCGATAGTAGTATTAACTCGGTGTTATGACAAAATTTTTGTATTATGACAGTGTTCAAAATGGAGTTTTCTAAGCAGTTAAATATTAAGGGATTTATGGCTGGATTCAATCATGAATCATAACCAGAGCTAAAGAACTATCGATAGTTTCGATATTTTAGATTACCATTATCGATACTACCGATAGTAGTACTAACTCAGTGTTATGACAAAAGTTTTTGTGTTATGACAATAAAAAGTGTGCAAAATGGATCTTTCTAGGCAGTTAATATTTAAAGGATGTATCGAAGAATTGAAATGACAAATTTTGAATTGAATCGATATTAACTTGCACAAAAATATTTACTTTTGAAGTTTTGTTGTATTAGTTTTTAATTTCCATTTATTTTATACACTTTCAAATGTGTTTTTCTTTATATTATACATATACATAGATCTTAAATTTGTGGGCTTTGTAGAAAAACTTAGGTGTGTGTTTTAAATACTCTTGACATAAAATTAATAATTTGTGTTTTGATTGTTTTAAGAGAAAACCTAACTAAAACCTATGAACATAGCACATTATATATTGTTTGTGTAGTGCAGCCATAAATATGCGTATTTTATAAAGCAATATCTAGATGAAAAAGCAATATCTAGATGAAAATTGTTAAATGGAAAATATATGTATATATATATATATATATATATATATATATATATATAGATATAGACATAAGAACTATGCGAACAAACCTATTGAAAGTTGCCGGCACCTATGAAAATTCTAAACATAGATTAAACTGAGTTTGGCTTGCATTTTGCCCATAAACATTAATTGATTATCTTTTGTTTCGTGTATGCATAATAATATAAATTGAAACGTACATATATATTCCTATAAATATGTATATGTATATGTAATGTGTTTGTTTATATATTATTTTTAGCTTAGGGACTAAATGGGCGTCGAGCGCAGGCGCACTTATAAGCTTTAACAAAAAAATATATATATATATATTATGTATATATATATAAAAAATAAAAGGAAAACAAAAACTACGTACATGTCTCAAACTATTTACATTGGACAATTGTCGGTTGGGCTGTCTGTTTAAAATCCTTTCAAGCCTTTGCTAATATCTTGCACTTGAAATGTTGTGTTGTTCGCTATTTAAATTACTTCTTGCTATTTATGTATGAATATAGAGTACTCGTAGTTTTGCTTTAATCACATGTGGTACGCTCAACTTGAATGGGTTAAATAACTTAAGGAATTATCGACGAATGGATCCAATTTGCTCTCTAGGCATTCTCATCGGTTACATAGATGTAGCCATGCTGTTGCAATATGCTCAGGCGTTTTTCAACGGCATCGCGATCTGTAAATAATACACTATTATTATAAATAATTGAATATGGCGAGCAGCCAATTGAAACGCACACTTATTCAACAGCATTTTGTCCTGAGGATGATTGCATTTTTGCACCAAGGAGTGAAGCAATATGTGTGCCGTGTTGTAGCGTTCAAAGCAGTTCTTGGTGTTTTTCAGCAGCTCATCCAGGGCCGCCGTCTGGCACTGCAAAGACAAGCGAAACACCGTTTGGTTTGTAAGCACATCGAGTTAGTTGGCTGCTTCGCTATACACTTACCATATCCAGCGCGTAGTCATAGAGTATTTTATCCGCTGTTATGTTAAATGCATTTGCCTTCTGGAGCAGGCCGCTCCCGTTAAGACGCTTCGACTCGAACAGAATGCTGCGATATTTGGCGTTCATAGTGAGCAGCGCTGCAAAAGATAGCAAGAGAAGATTAGCTTTAATTGGGAAACGCAGTTGGTTCACTAACCATTTTTTACGTTCGATGACGGCTTCAGCTGTCCGTTGCGCAGCTGCTGCGAGGCCAAATTAAGGCCAGACGATAGCAGCTGCAGGGCGCGCACAAGCAGCACCAAACGCTCCGCTCTCTTGCAGTGTTCGGGGGCATGGGGTGGAATCTGATGCTGCTCGGTGGTTGTCTGACTGCCGGCAACCATAAGCGTGGAGAGCGGCGCACAGCGTGAATCGGCAACCTCCTGAATGCAGTCGGTGAGCGCCAGCACAAAGTTAAGCTTGGAGAGTGTTTCGTTGTGCTCGCGATCCATCAGTGTCTCCTCAGACAGTTCGGGTGCCTGGAATGCATGCGGCTCAGTGCCTGGCCCACCGGCCGTATCCAGTAGGCTCTGCAGGCCGCCGGTGGCGCCCAATTCGGGCAGAGTAAAGGCACGCGGTCCTAACATATGATGCTGATTGTTGTTCTCTGAGCCACTGCCGGCGGAACCAATCGAGCCCAGCGAACCCGGCGCCACTAGCAATGTGGGACTACCCAGCGTTGGCAATTTAGTCAGCGCTGCGGACGGAAGCACCGGCGAACTGTTGCCGCTGCGGCGTAACGGCGACTGAGAGTGTCCGGGAGATACCTGCCATGTGCTTGGCGCATGCGGCGGCGGTGTCTCTGACAGCGAGCCACCAGATGCGGAACGCACCCGGGTTGGCGGTGTGCCAATTGCAAACTGCACGGCCGGCGGTGAAATCGAATTGATGTCGCTGCTAACGCTGCTCTTACGCTGATCCGCGCGCGGTTGCTTAACGCTTATTGGCTGCGACCGGGGAATTTGATGACCTGCAGCCGCCAGAGTGGCCACTGTCAACGGTATGCCACCCTGTCTGCCAGGAGAGCCAACGGCAACACCAGCTCCGGCATTTGGCAGCTGACGGCGCGCCGGCGCCGGCACTGGTTTCGGCTCCGAAATGGGCAAGCTGCTGGGACGCGGTGGACTGGATTGATTTGGCGTTGGCTGCTGTCGTGGCTGGGCAGTCACAGCATGGCCCTGACCCTGACGTGCATCTTCTGGCAGATTCTTGGACACCAGCACAAAGTCATCCGAATCCTCATGAGAGCTGCAGGAGCCACTGTTGTTCTCGCTATCACACAGCACGCCCACATTTGTAATCGTAGCACAGATAGCCGGATTAGCCACCACAGAGACTGCAATTGGTTTACCTTTTAGATTTGCGTTCACACAGATCAATTTTTTCCAATTTAACCTACCGGTATTCTCCTCTTCTTGTGCTGCTTCCTGTTCCTCACGCTCCTTTTGCTGCTGCTCGGCCAGCTTAACCAGCTGCAACTCCTGCTCCATTTGCTGTTGCAGCGGACTCTTGGCCTTGGCGGGCGGCGTGCCGCTCGACAGCGGTGGCATATCGACTGTTTAAACATGTATATAGTTGGGATTAACTTGTTTTTTATTTATTTAATTTGCTTTTAATTACCCGGCGACACGGCAGCCTTCTTGCCCTGCAGAAAAGGGTGCACAAAAAAGCTCTCATAGGATATGCGATCCTTGGAATTACGACGCAGCAGACAGAGCAACAAATCGCGCAAGTCCGGCGATACGCCATGCGGTATTCTAAAAAAAAAAATAGTCATAAATCGTTTATCTTTCCGTTAAAAGATTCTTGCTCCATGGTAGTCATCTCTTCTCGCTAGATTGGCTTAAGCTAAGCAGACCTATTGACCCGGGACTTTGAGACGTAAAACTTACTTGGGAGCCAGATTGGCATTCTGCTCGTAGTAGAACTTTAGCTCGTTGGGCGTTTGAGCGTAGAATGGCGCCTTTCCAGTCAGGCATTGATAGACAATGGTGCCCAGCGACCAGAGATCGGCCTTTGCGTCGTATTGCAGTGACATAATCACTTCCGGTGCCTGTCAACAAATATTTTGATCAATTTTAAATGTTTAAATAGTGCAAATTTAACTTGCGCCCAAAACTTACCATATACATGGGTGAGCCGCACAGTGTGGCTGCCATGACGCCCTCGTTTAGGAAACGCGCAAAACCAAAATCAGCTGCAGAAGAAAGTAACAAATATAAATATTTAATTTGGGATGAGACAGCTTTTAAAGAAAAGGATAAAAAAAAAGTGCAAAATATACAATTCAATATTGATTTGAGTTAAGAACAAAAAACGAATTAAAAGAAGATACAAATCATATATAATTAGCAGCAATTTATACATTTTGCACAATTCTTAACTACGTTTACACTTAAATTTTGTTGTTGCTACGATATTTGTTGAATATATCTCTTTATATTCCATTAATTCCTATATGCTTACCAATTTTCAGCGTTATTTTGGATGGTGCTGGCAGAGTCTTGCCATAATTGTGCGACAACAGAATGTTTTGTGGTTTGAGATCACGATGCACAATTCCTTTGGTATAAAGTGCTTTCATGGCACCAGCTGCGAATCGAGAGCATAGCTCAAAGTCAGAGAATGTGTCAATTGGGGTACATATTATTTAACACTCACCTAGTTGTATGAGAAACAGCCGGACAGTATCCTCGCTCAGGGTGCCCTTAACGCTCAGATAATCCGCCAAATCGCCGCCATTGCAATACTGTTAACGAGAACGGGAGAGAAAAAGAAAAGTTAATAAATAAAGTGTTAAATTTAAATGCTCTTATGTTTCTTTATATCGCTTCCTTAAAGATTCTGCGCTGTGCATTGCCAAGAATTCGTAGTATGTATAAGCGTTGTATACTTCTAGAGAACCTTTCTAAATTCCCAGTTTTGCCCAAGAATATTGGAGCCACCCACAGTTAAAATCTAGGCATTGGCCTGCAAAATCAATTATTGTGTGGCTTTTTAAGCCAAGTTGCTGTGCATTTAAGCCAACTGCACAGTTTGCAAAAAAACGAATTTGGCGGCACGCAAGCCCACAACCAAATTGAATTAGTCGCTGCCAAAGGTATAAAAGACGCTGTGCGTGGGGCAGACCACAAGCCAAAAGTTGGAACGGCGGCTCGTAAGTAATGGACACCGCGGGTTCGCTGTGCAATGCCAGCGAAGGTCCTGTGCTGCGGCCGGAGGCACGCGTTTCGGGCAACGGTGATCTGCAGTTTTTGGGCTGGAATGTGCCGCCAGATCAGATACAGCACATACCGGAGCACTGGCTAACCCAGTTGGAGCCGCCAGCCTCGATGCATTACATGCTTGGCGTGTTCTACATCTTTCTGTTTTGCGCCTCGACCGTTGGCAACGGCATGGTTATCTGGATCTTCTCGACATCCAAGGCGTTGCGCACACCATCCAATATGTTTGTACTGAATCTGGCCGTGTTCGACTTTATAATGTGCCTCAAGGCACCGATCTTCATCTACAACAGCTTCCATCGGGGTTTTGCTTTGGGCAACACCGGATGCCAAATCTTTGCCGCCATCGGTTCGTATTCGGGCATTGGTGCCGGAATGACCAATGCGGCCATCGGCTACGATCGCTTCAATGTCATAACGAAGCCCATGAATCGCAACATGACCTTCACCAAGGCGATTATAATGAACGTTATCATATGGCTTTACTGCACGCCGTGGGTTGTTTTGCCGCTAACCCAGTTCTGGGATCGGTTTGTGCCGGAGGGCTATCTGACATCGTGCACATTTGATTACCTGACGGATAACTTTGATACGCGCCTGTTTGTGGGCACCATTTTCTTCTTCAGCTTTGTGTGCCCCACGCTAATGATCATCTACTACTACAGCCAGATAGTTGGACATGTTTTCAGCCACGAGAAGGCTCTGCGCGAGCAGGCCAAAAAGATGAACGTCGAATCGTTGCGCTCGAATGTGGACAAGAGCAAGGATACCGCCGAGATACGCATCGCAAAGGCTGCCATTACCATATGCTTTCTGTTCTTCGTATCCTGGACGCCGTACGGTGTCATGTCGCTGATTGGGGCTTTCGGGGACAAGAGTTTGCTAACGCCAGGCGCTACCATGATACCGGCCTGCACCTGTAAACTGGTGGCCTGTATCGATCCGTTTGTGTATGCCATCAGTCATCCCAGGTACCGCATGGAATTGCAAAAGCGTTGCCCCTGGCTGGCCATCGATGAGAAGGCGCCCGAGTCCAGCTCGGCGGTGTCCACAACAACAACACAGGAGCAGCAGCAAACAACTGCAGCCTAGGCAAAGACGACAATGGACTTTTAATCTTGGACTACGCTGAACATGCCTACGAACCGGAAATCGAACTCCGCCTGATATTTGATCTCGACAACTCTCTGACTGCGTAATATCTGTGCATTTGTTTTACTATAACAAACCAATTATAATACTCTTTTTCCTCTATAATTTGTAGTGCGCTACTTAAGAAAAAACTTAAATGTTAAAAATTAATGCAAGGTTCATAAATGGAATCAACAAAAGCAAAAAAAAAAGAACAAATGAAAAGAATAAGAATAAAATTCTATGCCCGCAGCTGTGGCAAGCAAATCGCATACTATGCGAATGAATTAAGCTCAATCAAGAGAGAAGACACATGCGATTGTAAAATGTGAATTATGCATGGATTCTGTTTCTAGTTTTCTTCAGGTTCAACGAGGTCTTTTGTCTGCCTGTCAGACAATTATGGACCACATATGCTCATATATATGTATGTATATGTTTCTGGGCTATGACGTTGTCTGAAGGTCGCATGGAAAAGATTTACGACAATTTATAATGCAAAACATCTAATGGGATCCCCTCCATTTTGCACGAGTCTCTTGAAGGGGTTGCAGCTGCTTTTATAATACCTTTTGTACAAACTACCTTTGAATATCTTTACTCAAACTTATAAAAGCAGCTGCCTTCGAAAGAAGCATCCTGACCTTTTGCAAATATCTCAAATTTCATTTTGAGGTATTTTTGAAGTTTGTTTTTCGGGAGTTGAATAATATTTAACGTGTTGCGAACTTCAATCATACAAAAGATATGTATATATATATATATTATGATGAAAAAGAAATCGAATTATCATAATATTTTTTAAGCCTAACTGAAAAGTGAGCTAAAATCTGTCAACTGCCAAGCAGGGAGCTTTTGAGAATCGCATATAAAGGCAATTTAGAAACGGGTAACGGGAGAGATGTTGAAAGGAGGCACAAGCAGAAAGAGACGGAAAAACTGCGTAAAAGTAAGAGGGAGATGTAATACTCTTACACTTACAAGACTCCACAGTCTTGTAGGTTTATTTAGAAACGATATAAGCAAACCTCGCTCCTCATATAATTTAGCAAAGACAAAGAACAGTCAACGCTTTTGTGATTTGAGGTGTCAAAGGATTCAACTGACCTTCAGACTGCGAAATACGACATGGAGCATTGAAAACGGACACGAACCAAGCGAAATTCAGTTGCTTTGTGAGAATTAAAAAAAAAAAACCTTTGCTGGAAAATAAAACCCATAATAAGCACTTTTGATGGTTGTTTCATGAATATGACAGAATGTGTGGTCCACTTACAGTCTAATGAGTAAACAAAGAGCTTAGATAATAATAATAGAAGCACAACCATATTAGGTAATTAAAAATGACAAAAGATTCGATTTGGGCACAAAAAAAAAAAAACATGAAAAGCACCCTGAATAAAGAGATATAAAAAAGTCAATGACATGTAAAGCGCACAGCAAAAGACAATTGCAGAATAAGGGAGAGCGTCATGCCATGTGAACTTTGGGCAATATTCTAGCTATCAATGTGAGAGCAACAATTACTTAAAATTACTTATACAAAAACAACGGCACATGAGTCAGCCTATCATTATCGTAAAAGCAGTTGCCAAATTCTAATGTAAAACTTACAGCGTACACATACAACGAAATGAAGAGCACAAGAAAGAGTTATCTTCAAAAGCGTAGCCTGAGAGAGAGAGAGAGAGCGAGAGTGCGGGAGAGAGGGCGAGCTAAAGAGAGTGGAGAGGCAAATGATATGCTCTCCGAGTTTAAACTTAAAAGCGCTGTCATCGACGCCGCAATCGCGCGCTGCTCAGTTTGTCAGGGACGTTTGCACCATTCGCATGACTCGCGCTAACTGTAAATTAAGCTAAGCGTGCATTAAACAACAAAATAGAATGCTGAAAGCTAGCGGAATTTATAGACTTCAAACATTGAGTGCGTTATAAAAACACTTTGCTGAAAGGGCAAAATATAGAAACGTACGAGTAGTGTATAACTTAAACACGACACCAAATCACGAATTAAACATAAGCGTTGTCAGCGACTAAAGGTCAACAATTTTCTAGCGGCTGTGAGGCGATAAAAGCAGCATGTGTACATACATGTACACAATACATGCATGTGTCTTGTTAAGGAAACCAAATGAAACAAAATGATAATGAGAATTATTTCTGAATAAAAGGCCGTAATTGTGTATGTGCATTATAATACAATTAATTCATAGATGAATATAAAGTATTTCATTAATAAACTCAAACTAACATCAAGTATTATAAACTCAATAACAAACGAAAAAGGAAATTATGTATGTCAAATACAATTCCGTTGACAACAAAACACAATTTTTGTTTTTAATGAACAGAGAAGCCGCATTAATAACACAGCAATTTGATAAGATTAGAGCGCTTAAACATTCTAGCGATTAGACAAAGCAAACTCTTAATAACAATAATTGGTCCAACAATCAAGTAAAAGTAAAATGCGTAACCCTAGGAGAGCAAAAAAAGGCAATTCCAATATTGACAGATGAGAGATGACGTGCAAAATGTGCTGCCACGAAACGTCAGTAAAGCGCAGGCGTGAGAGGCTCACCTCTCTCTCTCTCTCTCTCGCCCGTTCGCTCTCTCTCGCTCTCGCCCGCAAACACCTGCTCAGCATAAAGCAAAATAAAGCTCAGTGCCGTCGTTTGCGATTTTCGCTCATTTCGCTGTTTTTTTTTTTTTATCCATTTAGTCACAGGTTGGCAGCGAGTGCGTTCGGTTTGTTCCGCGTTACTCGAAGTGCCGAAAGCAAAACAAAATATGTATATATAATATACTATATGGACAAAGTGTGTAAGAATTTATGTATATATAAAAATGATTTGGCAGCGTTTATGAAAAGATTAACGGCAAATCGACAAGTGAATCAAAAATTTTTCAGTTTGTGATATATGCCTTAAATATGAACACACGCAAGTGTATATATCGGGAGATGCGCCACCTGCCGTTCATATGCATTCAACATGATATACGCCCTTCTACGTGATTCTCACGAATCTAACCTAAAGTGCACCCTTTAATTTCAAGCATATATTAACAGAGTTACTTTAAATACCTCCAAAGAATGGGTTGCGCTGTCGATTACATTATATTATATACGTGAACAGCTGCGGTCGAAAAAAGCAGACATTATAAATGAAATGTATAACAATATATTACAAAAGTGCGCACATAACTCAAAACCTTAAAAAAAAAACCAACAGTTGAACTGTTTAATTACATTATTATATAATCATATTTCTTCAACTTTATTCAACAGCATTAAAAGTGTATCAACAATTTGAACAATGACATAAAACTATTGCCCTGCACAAAGATATAAAACAATAAAGCGACAAAGCATTTAAAAGAAACCACATTTAATCAAACAAAATGCACGTTTACTACAAATTCGGATTACTTCTAATATTTTTGCTGAGCGTAAGGTAAACAAATGAAATACTACTAAAAAAACAAAAAAAACAACATATTTGCCAATTGTTTTTGCCGAATAAATACATTTTAAGTTCTAGTTAACATTTGACTTTTAATTCAACGCTCGCAGTTTGTTAAAGAAAACGAACTCGCATAGGAAATTTGGGCTTGACGAACTCATGCGTCACACTTTCCATGACACATTGATCAACTTCTCGCATTTTAAACAGACTGGTTTAATTTCTTTTTAAATGTATATAGAGGATCGGGCAATTACAAAGTCGTCAAGACAAAGTACAAAGTGCCAACATTAAGTAACATGGGACAAACATGGAATAAATTCAAACGGAAACCTGTTAAAACAAAAACAAAAACAAACCTGGGCACATCGTTTAAACGGACCTTGGACTTTCGTTAAATGCCATTTTATGGCCGGCACGGTAACAGTGACAAAAGTTCCACCCGCAATTAATGTTATTATACTTATTTATGTATGACTTCTCTAATCGATCGCCTGATAACGCAAACAGTTGCAACGATAATTTTTCCACTTATCAAACATGTTTATACAATGCGGCGTCCAGTACAAACAAACTGTGGCCTTTTATGACTCAAGCGTAGCTCAATTCGCAGACGAAGGAGCTTCTATTGATTTATGCCAAAAGCCGTAAAGTTTTTGGAATGGGCAAACACAAACACACACTCGCATGTCTTCTGATGTGTGTGTGTGTGAGTGTGTGCAACTTTTCCAAGGCCCATCTTCAGTTTCTGTTGCCAATATGTCGTCAGCCTGACATTTAAGTTATTAGGGGCAGCGCCCAAGTAAAACTGGGGCCTGCCCAATTTTATAGTCTTTTCCCGATACAGGCGTCATATGCTCAAAGAAATTTCCCTGTGAAAAGACTACGCCCGATTTGTTTATGATATTCTGTATTATCTATCAAGGCTGGCAGATAGTGCCAGCTCATATAAAACTTGATTTTCCAAATCAAAAATACTAATTTAGTATTTTTTGTTTAGCCCAAGCCAGACTTGTTCCCATTCTAAGCTTCAGCTAATTCCGCTAACAAGCTCATTTCTAGCTGCCCAGACACTGGTCTTACATGTATATATATGTATGTATATAGTATAGCCCGATGTTCTCGAGAAACAACAGTCACGCAATTTATACAAGTTGCAAGTGGCGATTATAAAAAGTACTTGAACTGACACACAGACATACATATGCACACATATGCACATATGTATATAGTATGTGTGTCACCTCGTAACGTTTTTTCAAAATAAACTGAATGGAATGCTACTTAAATCCCGCACAATCTGGCGCTGCTCCTAATGAAGGTATCAGAATTCGCCCGAAATCACGGCAGGCGAGCAGAACGAAAGTGAGAGTGAGCAGGCGAACGATAGCGGAAAGCGAAAACTCTGAAGAGAAACACGGCTGTGACGTAAACAGGTTTCCCGCCTGTTTCCATTCATGCGGCTCGAAATGCACCAAACAGCAGCAACAACAAACAAAAGCGAATAATGATAAAGAGCGGACAGACGACTTGAAAAAAGATACCAACAAACAGAGCAAAGCGAAAAAGTTCTCCAGGAGTTAAGACTTCAATATGCCCTGCATTAGCGAATTAGTGCTAAGAGACACTTGAGTCGAAAAACGAATTCCATTTATTACATTTAGTTGTTACATATGCAAAACAATAGCTAGGTATGCCGCTTAGCACTTGCCACAGGGTATCGTTCGACGTGTGTTTAAATGGGTCAAGAGCGCGCTTTCAGGACAAATTGCTGGGTGTGTCTGTTCGTGATGTAATCGTGCGTTATTTCAAACTGGCAAAACCAACAAAAAAAATGCACAGCCAATTGAGAGTTTTTGGGCTTAACAACTTGGCAAAAATTGCTAATTAAAGCGCCTAACTTGGCTAATTTGCCAAATATGTATACAAGGTGGCGTTCTCTTCTAATTTTGTAATATATTTGCAGCATTAGCCACACAGCGCCCGCGGACAAAAGCCAAACAGGCAACAACTCCGACGATGATTACGACTATGATGATGATTATGTTGACGAGTCGTCGGATAGAATACCGCCAGAGATAGCAGCAAATCGACAATTGGATAAAACGGCCTCAACAACGACAACCACATTTAGGCCCATTTTCAGTAAGTTCAAGACTGAGTGTAAAACATCTACATTTAACATTGCCTGCATTATCTTAATCATTTTTCTCGCATGCAGGCATTCCACGACGCAGCAGCCATGTGCTGGAGCCGAGCTGTCCACGCAATTGCCTTTGCTTGCAGGATTTCAGATATGTGCAATGCACCAATGCACATCTGACCCATGTGCCGTTGGATTTGCCCAAAACGGCGGCAATTATTGATTTGAGCCATAATGTTATTGCCGAGCTGCGTGCCGAGGATTTTGCCAATTTGTCCAAAGTACTTGAAATCAATTTGAATCACAATTTAATACGACATCTTGACAAGGAGGTAAGCCAGTTAAGCATACGTTTATATATGATTATATTTAAAGATTTCCTCTTTCAGGCATTCAATGGCTTGCAACGTTTGCGTAGCCTGCGCTTGGCCAACAATCAATTGACCAAAATTGAGCCCGATACATTTGCGGGCGCCACGGATCTGGCGCTGCTGGATTTAAGTAATAATAGCATAGCGCAGCGCACGGATGGCTCCTTTTTGAATCAGCCCAGTTTGAATGAGTTCAGCTGCTCGAATTGCAGCTGGACCGAGCTGCCGGAGCAGATATTCATGAATATGAGCGCACTGAATGTGCTGCGCTTGGATCACAACGAATTCAAACGAGTACGTTGCGCGCCAAACTATCGCAACAGCTATCGATAGTCGTGCCAGCAGCTAGACAGCAGGTTGGCAGCTCGCAAAGTTTGCCTCATATAGTTGTCTCGCTCTAGCACGCGCTTGTGCTTCACTTTCGTATACTAATGCCTGCCTCTTCTATTTTTGACAGCAAATCAATACGAGAGCTTTCACGCCGCTAAAGAATATAATTAAACTGAAACTGCCCGAACTAGATCAGCAAAACATTGAGGAGTTGTGTAATCTACTAAAATCCATTGACAACATCAGCTTCAGGCACTTTGATGTTAGCTGCTTCGAGCTGGTGCTGGGCACATCATTCAACGAGAGCCTCATCCAGGCCACAGACACGCCGTTCAAGCGTGTGACGGGGCTGCCCAGCACACCGAAGCCAGCGACGCCATCGCCGCCGCGTACAGGTAATAAACAAATACCTTGCATATAAGTGTACGTATTGTTTATGGGCAAATGTTGTTTTAGCAGCCAATCGCAACCGCAACAAAGTGGCCAACGAGACGATCAGCGTGTCCAAGGCGGGCATCATGGCGGGTGACAAAGCCGCAGACAAGGAGGAGCCATATCAAGTGCCCATTTCGCAGGAGACCATTAACACGCTGCTCATATGTAAGTATGCTGCTCAATAATAATAATAATAATAAATACTAAAATGTTTCATTGCAGGCATCATGGTCGTTGCGATTGTGGGCATTATTGTGGGCTTGATTTGCCGTAAGGATGTGGGCGGCATTAAAACGAAATGTTGCCGCACTAAGAAACCGGAGCCAAAGGATCAGATACATCCCACTGAGGAAATACCGCTAAATAAGCTAGCCTAAGAGACGCACACACTCGCCGCGCTGCCTTCGAAAAATAATTCCAAAAACAGTTGACAATTTTGTTATGGAAACAGCAGCATTTGCCAACGGATACGAGACTTGAACTCTGTTTGAATTGTAGTTTTACAAAAACGATTCCCGAATTGTAGTGGGAGTTTTTAGGTTTAGCTCCATAGTTTAAGTCACCTAGTCGCTTAGCCCTTGCTTTCATGGACATGTATTTCATGTAGTTTGCTCGCATTTCGTATTTTGGTAGCAAGAACAAAAATTATATATTCTATGGTTACGTTTAGAGCACACATCATATCGATATTTATCTTATAACAAATTGTTAGCTCTTAGACATTTTCCTACTCTTAATATAGACATTTTGCCAATTACACAATAAAAATTAATTATTGTAAATAGTAAATAAATTACATGAGACTTTTACTAATGTTAGATTTTGAAGTGACCGCCAATTTGGCGGCATGAAATTAGCAATAATTATTAAATAGACATTGGTTAAAAGTTACGAGCATGATTCAGCCAGAATCATTTATAATACAAATTTTCCGTATTGATTAGGAGAAGAAAGATTTTGTGTAAAGAATGATCTGGTTAGGCATTGGAATATATAAGTAGAGAGTCGAGTGGATTTGATATCCAAATATTAGACAAATTTATTAACACAAAGTTCTCTAGACATTATAATAATATTCAAAACACCAAACAACAACACAGAATTATGGCATTCGCGATAAGTGAAATCTTGAGAGCGGAAGGGAAACATTTATCGAATAACTGAATCAATAATAAGTAATACGAAAATAAACTTATTGCATTACAAATTAGAACACATAGCAGGGAAATGGAGAAGTCGTCGGAGAAGGGGCTACAGAATGGGGTCAAAGTCAGTCAAAACAGACGAAACGAATCGCATGTTTACGCGTAGTTTCACACAATAAAGAAATGGATAACGAAATCTATTTAATATTAAAAACAGCCTGCACTCAATTTGGAATCTTCAAAATCATAAATGTTCAGCAAACATTCATTATTCTCTTGCCCAATTGAGCTTGATACCTTTGTAAATAAATGTGCGGACCAGAAAACAACGCCATTTAATCTTATCAAGGTCTTTGTTATGCTTTGCACAGGAATCTGACCTATTTTCGAAATCAAATAATCATTAAAGAGTGCCTGCCAAAAGTATACAAACACATGTGCCTGACGTATATAAAAGCGCAGAAATATGCGTATACGTACATGGAATGCCAGGAAGTAAACAAACAAATGGATAAAACTAATAAACAACTCTATAAAAGTTGACGTAAGAAGTATTTATATATAAATATACGCAAAATTTGCAAACAACCTGTTTACGTATATTTGAACGGGTATTTTGGGGGCAAACGCATAAGATTAGAAGATTGTTCTATGAATTAAAAAACGAAGCAATGCTACCAAAAGCGTTTAAGGGCACGATACGAAAATGAAACAACAAATTGAGTATATGCATTGTTATTAATGAGAACTTGCAATAAAATCAATCAATCCTAAGTATCTCTAAAAGGATTTTTATGCAATATCACCTAACGTAAACAACAACTTCAGACATGTCTGAATATATTTCCCCCATACAGGATGCATAGGAAAAGCACATTTAGCTGAATCATGAATAATGCATTAGTTATAGAGTATACAATGGTTAAGCAATGTTTCGTTTCCGCAATTGAATTAAATGCCCTTACGAGTGCGAGATGACGTGAAACTTGCCTACGTGCACTTCGGGTGCATTAGCGGCAGCAGCAAACGGACTGAGTCAGACGATTAGGCCAAATATCATTAATATTTTTATTTTTACGTAGAGGTCTCTACTCGCACACAGTTGTCCAGCAATAGGAGCACAAAGGCATAAACAATGACCAGGCACATTTTGGTAGAACTACTGATAATACTCGCTTCTTTTTGTTTTTTTGCGAAGTAGATAAAAGAATATTCAACTCACCTCCATGACCAGATTGACACAATCCTGGGACTCTTTGCAATCCAACAGGGCCACAACGTTTTCATGATGCAGCTCCGTTAGTTCCTTAAGAATTTTAATCTCCTTGCCGAGCAAATTCTGCGCCTTGATTAGTCCCTTCTTGGTAATACATTTGATAGCCACGGGCATGTGTTTCTGAAAAAAAGAAGCGTATTAATTAACATTCATTAGTGTTCGTTAGCAAACTGAAGTCATTGAACGACAAACTGTAAATATGCCGAATACAAAGTTAATCAAATCTCTATATTACTTTTATTCAAGAAATTGGGCCCTGAGAATGTTTGAAAAATGAACAATTTAATCAGAGTCACGTGTTAATTACCATTAAACTGGATTGGAAGCACAAATAGACAAGCGTTACGGGCATCTATATGGCAAAACTTTAGCAAATGAGTTGATTAGACTGAGTTTTTAATAAGGTCTCTTGATAAAACATTTAATTAGTTTAAGGGAGAAAGGCACATTCACGTAATTATGACACTTTGCCGCAGTTAACACAAAAAACTGCACGTGAGACGAAATTTATTGAATAAGTTATTCCTTATAAAATATTGTTTGATGAATATTGTACGCTTTGTTGAACTGAATTAATTTTGTTTCTAATTGTGAATGACCATTAATCATTTGTTATTATGCACACGCTTAAAGTATGCATGCTGAGAAGCGCATAGAGAGGCGTTCAGCAACGTATGCTGCAGCACCGCAAAGTTGAAAATTGTTTAATTTTAGATGCATTTAAAGTACTTGACGAGCCGCACAGCACACGCTAATTGCAAATGTTGCCATAAATTATGCACATTGAGGATGTGTATCTATGTATATATATATATGTATATGTTGAAAGAGTGGCCCTCTTGCAACGCAACTGTACCGTGTCTCGCAGCAGAATGCGTTTTATTATTAGATACGCAAAATGCAATTTGCGTCAGCTGTTTACGCTATCTACGCGAATGACTGGTTGTCTGGCAGACTTGGTCTGAGATCCGCAATTTACCGTTGACTGGTCTGCGGTTTACCTTTGGCGATAAGGTGCAAGGCCCGCCCGTTGCTTTGTCTCGCCCAGTGCGTTATTTATTTGCCCAACACTTAACGAGTGACAATGACTCTGTCTCTGTTTACCAGTTGGCCTTCCCTCCCCCCCCCCTCCCTCTCGTCTTTATCAACAGGTAAAAGTGTTAATTTGTGTAACCACCTTTCATTTTGCACTTGTACTAAATATGGCATGACGTATAATTTGCCGTATTTGATGCGATTTCCTAGCTGCCAATTGTTGAGCTTTTATTGATATTTGATTGTTTTCTTACTTAAAGATCTTTTTCAGTTCTTCATTTGAAGTTTTACTCTACTTCAATTTCACCTTATTTTTGACATTAATAATACCTTTTCATATCACATCTTCTTTTGCTTCTTCAAAACTTTTGTCTGAGTAACGTAACCCGTAAATTCCATTTGCGGGCAAAATACAATTTATATATTTAAAACAATTGCATTTTCTATAAACGTTGACAATCAGAAATACTTGACCGATAACAGGGCTGGTTTTTATAATGCATCTGTTTGTTTGTTTTTTTGTTTGTTAAGAGTATATTAATAACAATAAAAAATATATAGTAATAAATTGCTCTTGTTGCCACACGGCACTTTAATTAAAAATAATTGTTAAATGATAGGCTGATTACAGGCTCTGGCCTAGGTCAGAGTCACGAAGGGACAATGAATTAAACGATAACAACAATATAAAGCCAAAAAAAAGCACAAAACAACAAATATATAATAATAAAAACAATAATAATAATTAAAATTTCAGTTTTCCTAACATTTTACAGCCTAAACAATTATATGCACCTTTTCTCGTATATAAATAATTAACAAGAGGTTCTAGTCGGGAGCTCCCGACTAGGGGATACCCTAAACCGTCTTCTTCCAACATCAAATGCATATATATATTTTATTTTGAAAGCTATATGTCAAGGTTGGTGACTCTAGCTCTTATTATTTACCACAATTGCCCAAAAAACAGAATATCGATATCGATTTTTATCGATTGCTTAGAAACGGAGCAAGTTATCGATTATCGGAAACAAACTCAATCTGCGCGGGAACTAGGAGCAACTACATCTAAAATTTCAAGTCTCGAGCTCTTATAGGTTCTGAGATCCTTGGGTTCATACATACGGACGGACGGACAGACATACGGACATGGCTAGATCGACTCGGCTATTGATGCTGATCAAGAATATATATACTTTATGGGGTCGGAGATGCTTCCTTCTGCCTGTTACATACATTTGGATTTTGCACACATTCAATATACCCTTCTACCCATTTTAAATGGGTTCAGGGTATAAAAAGATATCTTTAATCTCAAACAATTTCCCAACAATTTTCACTACAATACTTGAGATAGAAATAAACTAAAGCTTGTGAAAAACAAGCGAAACTTTGCAAATTCTTCAATATGGGAATCATTTGTAAAAAGAAACAAACCTAATTCAGTTTTTATCGCTACAAACGAAAGTTTCAAAATCTTTTAATTATATAATCAACAATCAAAAAAACAAACAATCCGAAGCATTGTCAGTTATCATTAATGGATCTATCGAATTTCAGTCAGGTCCCGTCCCAGACGCTAAAAAATTTCCACGTGCAAATTAGCTAACAATATATGCGCATAAATTGTCTGCTCTTGAATCAAATGTCCACGTAGTATATATATAGTATATATACGTATAGCCAGATCTAAATTCTCACAGCAACTGGTTTGACAAACAATTCACAACAGTTCCAGTTCGCTGATGTTCTATAAAATCTGATTAACAATTCATAATACATGATATGGACTAAACAAGACCCGGTAGAGTTATGAATATGCCCTGTATTAAATGGAGTGTGCGCTGGGGTATACCAGAAGCTAACTTGATACAAGCATTATTTGGGTATACCAGAAGTTAGCATTAACTCCTTTTGTATATAACGCCATTTCTAATTTTTCCTAAAATATATCAATTTTGTATACCCAATTGGAATCAGTATTATACAAGAATTATACAATTTTTCCTGATTGTATATCAACCATTATTTGGGTATACCAGACTCCAACTTGATCTCCATTCTATAATCCGCCACTTCCAATTTGCCCTGATTATAGATCAACCATTATTTGGGTATACCAGAAGCAAACTTTAACTCCTTTTGTATACTACGCCACTTCCAATTTATCTTGATTATATATAAAGTATTATTTGGGTGTATCAGAAGTTACTTTATCTCCATTTCTATATTACTCCAGTTCCAATTTGTCTTGATTATATATCAACCATTATTTGGGCATACCAGAAGCTAGCTTGATCTCTATTTCTATAA